GCCTGCGAGCGCAGCTTGGAGCAGCACAGCTTCTTCTCGACTTAGGAACTTTGCTGGCATTTTGTCCTGCTAAGAAACCTCTTCTACATCCTCTTCAGCCAAAGGATAGGATGGCAGCTGGCTCTGGTCACACACACACACGCAAGTGTAGCAAAATACAAGATTCTGCCTTCTAACCTAGGAGAGGTATTTGCTCTTCTACGCTGTGAGAGGGAGAGGATGCTGGCTGAGTAACTAGTCTCTTTAGGAAGAAAGAATTGCCTCAGCTGAGTGGCTAAGTGCAAGCTTGGCATTTCTACATGTCAAGATACCTGCTAGACCTTCAAGCACAGAATAACAGGCTGGGAGAAACTACTGGTATTTAGCAACTGTTTCTTTTGGGGTTTCCAACAGGCTGACCAATGTACAGGACTCCAAGGATTCTTGGTCTTCCACAGTTTTGGAGGAGGCACTGGCTCAGGATTCACCTCTCTGCTGATGGAACGGCTCTCTGTGGACTACGGCAAGAAGTCCAAGCTAGAATTTGCAATCTACCCAGCTCCACAAGTCTCCACAGCAGTGGTGGAACCCTACAACTCCATCCTCACCACGCACACCACCCTCGAGCACTCAGATTGTGCTTTCATGGTGGACAATGAAGCCATCTATGATATTTGCCGCAGGAACCTAGACATCGAACGCCCAACCTACACAAACCTCAACCGCCTTATCAGCCAGATTGTCTCGTCCATCACTGCCTCCCTGCGCTTTGATGGGGCTCTCAACGTAGACCTGACGGAGTTCCAGACCAACCTGGTGCCCTACCCTCGCATCCACTTTCCTCTGGCCACTTATGCCCCCGTTATCTCTGCAGAGAAGGCTTACCATGAGCAGCTCTCCGTGGCTGAGATCACCAATTCCTGCTTTGAGCCTTCTAACCAGATGGTGAAATGCGACCCCCGTCATGGTAAATACATGGCCTGCTGCCTTTTGTATCGGGGTGATGTGGTGCCCAAAGATGTCAATGCTGCTATTGCCGCCATAAAGACCAAGCGAAGCATCCAGTTTGTGGACTGGTGCCCCACAGGCTTCAAGGTGGGCATCAACTATCAGCCCCCCACTGCGGTTCCTGGTGGAGACCTGGCCAAGGTGCAGCGTGCCGTCTGCATGCTGAGCAACACCACAGCCATTGCTGAGGCCTGGGCCCGCCTGGACCACAAGTTCGACCTCATGTATGCCAAGCGGGCCTTTGTCCACTGGTATGTAGGGGAAGGCATGGAGGAAGGGGAGTTCTCCGAGGCTCGAGAAGACATGGCTGCCCTGGAGAAGGATTATGAAGAGGTTGGCATTGACTCATATGAGGATGAAGAAGAGGGAGAGGAGTAGTTGTAAATGCTCTATTTTCATTAAACTATGCTTGGTTTTAATCTGAATTCCTGTGACATGTCTCTTTCTTGTCCAGGACTGTGGCTGTTCATGGAACAATCCTACTAAATGTAATTGTTGCTAATGATAACCTTCTTCTTGCATCCTCTCCCTTGTAGGATTGAAGAAGGAAATATGTTTTTCTTAGCAGCTGAAGCTGAGAATCGTAGTCTAACCATATTGCAACACAAAGGTGCCTTTCCCATCTTCAGATACATGAGCTTCTGCCTTAGCTTTCTCTAACATAATGCTTTCCAGGTTTTTTAGACTCTTACTCCCATCAGTCCCAGCCAGCATGACCAATGTTCAGGAATGCTGGGAGACGGATCTCAAAACATCAAGAGGACACTTAATAGGGGAAGAGTGCTATACCTATTCAGCATTACTTTTTAACATGTTTAATGCCCAGGAAACAAATTATGCACTCACAGATTACGTGAACTTGGATGCTATTCCAAAACTTGCTTTGGTATAGATTTTCAAATAGGGATTAGTAGCACTCTCATAAGCTGTTGGATTGCATCTCCTATCACCCCGCACAATTGGCTTTGCTGGCTGGACTTAGGAGAACTGCTGTGTGCAAACAGCAGAAGCAGGATACATTCCCCACACTTTAAGAGAAAGTGAAATATGGTTATACTGTACACCTACAACTGAAGATCCCATATTGCTACATGTGTTGCAGGGATGGGAGGGTCAGCTCTCTTAGGAACAAAGGTTTAATTCCTCTTGCTGAAAATGACAGAAGTAGGATATCAAAGTGCTAGAAAATATCTGTATTGCATCCTTCTCCAGAGCTATGAGCAACATTTTAACTATCTTAACAAACCTTGAAGGGAGTCTAGATATGACCAGCAAGGGGAGCTTTATATCTCAGCAGGGCCTGGCTTTCTGGATCTATTTATTGTAATACCTAAAAACACAGTATGTGCCAGAGTGTCCAGGAAGGAGCTCATATCCAGACTGAGAAACACTTAGTCTCCACATGATAAAACAGGGATCCCCCTCTTTTTGGGCACTTTGAGTGGTGGTGGGTGCTTTTACAGAACAGCTGCTTTAAGGCTGTCCCACTCATGAAATGGGTACGGCCAGCTACAAAACACCAACTTCCCAGAGGGCTCAGTGAGACTATAAAAAAGTTTCTTGCCCAAGAACTTAAGTACAAGGCAGAAGTTTTGTTTTCACATTCAGACAATGCGGACCTGAGCCCAGTTTTCTGCTCCCAACACACAGCTCACAATCATTTGAAAAAGCTTGGAGACACGCAACGTGGCAAGAAATGAAGGAAAAGGTAGTGGTGGGGTCTGAGCCCCAAATGCCAAATCACAAACTCCCCATTTGTTAAGGCAAACACGCTGTGCACAGAGAAGTGCACTTGGCCTGTCCATGCCACCCCAGCACACCCCTTTGTTCATGGGTAGCTGCCATGCTTCAAAACAAAAGGGCCGGGCTGCAGCCACCTGCCATTTTTATTTTCTAAAAATGCCTCCGGGGCTTATATGGGGCTCGGAGGCATTCTTGGAAAGAAAGTTGATCCTGGAGGTAGGGACTTTGCAATACACCCCACTGAGTTTCTAAAATTAAATAATTTTAAAAATTCAAAGCAGTAGGTTCAAGAAGCCTGGTGGAAACCAAGGGAGTATTCTCTGTGGAACCCCCAATGTAACTGTATCCTTGCCTAAAATGAATATATTATCAATTTCTATACCACCTATAGCTGAAGCTTTCTGGGTGGTATAGGCTTTCCTGTACCCCAATTGGCCACCACTGGCCATTTGCTTCCACACTGAGTGGAATACATGCATCTCTGGAAGAGCTTGGTCACAAGATTAAAGAACCTGGAAAAACATAGTTGAGGCTTTGGCCAAAGAGATATTCATCTTCTCTTGGAAAAGCTGGGTTATTTTCCTAACCTCATCTCATTTCAGTTGCCTTATTGGGGTGAGTCACTTGTACAAAGAACTTAAAATAGTTTTCCCCAGACATGGATCCCCAGGTATTGTTGGACTTGTAACACACACCATCTCTGGCCATTGCCTGTGGAGGGGTTCATAATCCAGCTTGTGGGCTTGCCTAAAGAGAGGAAGTGTGCACTGAAGTGGGTATGAGGGAGAACAGAATGTACTTTGGGTGAAAAGTATTCGCTTCCCATCTTCTGCTGGCTGTTTCTCCATACAAAGAACTTGTTCATTCTTTCAGGAATTTCACAACTACTGGGGGAAGGGTTGAAAGGAAAAGGGGCAATGGTTGCAGCCAACCTGGAAAAATGTGCTGGCTCCAGTCTGGTTTGGCAGGGCCTCTCTGTAAACTTTGTTCTACCCTCCTTTGTACCAGAGAGCCAGTCCCCTTCCTCTCCCCTCCATTTCTGCTTTGTCTATACATGGGCCGGAAAATGGGGCTCTAAAACTAGATTATCCAGCCTTTACCCATCCCCACAAAGGGTGGTGGGTGCTCCTTGTAAGTGGCTGCTCCTGCAAACCCCTTTAAAGCATACACTATTACACACAACCAGCCTCACCCTGCTGCCATTGAGTGCTCTGCCACTGTTAACCTTGTCAAGGGCAGCTGTTGCCTTTCCTTGCACACATCCACATGCATCCGGTGGCTGACAACAGAATTTGTTGCAGGCAGCAAATAGCACTGAAGACAAACATAACATGCTGAGCCTTCGCTTTCATCTCACCCCCCTGCTCCACTGTGCAAAATGTGTAGCACTGAATGCAACTTCCGGAGACAGCAGATTGCACCACAGCTTAGTCATGTCACACCAAAAGGAGTGGACATTTGTGCAACCAAGAAGTGCCAGTTTGTTTCAGTTAACTGTTGTGCCACAATAAAAAATACTTTTGCAACTTCATAGTGTTAAGTGTATTTTGTTTACCAAGTGATGATAATGCCATTTCAATTTCAGGTAGCAAATATGGAAAGGTTCAAAGGGTGTGTGTGTGTGTGTGTGTGAATACTTCTGCAAGACCCTGATGACTAAGAAATCTTATGACATAATAAATTAGTCACCAAGGTGTCAAAGTAACTCTGAAGCCCAACATGTCCTCCACCTGTTTTGAACTTCAAATCAAATTGGCTACTGTAAGCCAATGGTCAGAAATGCTGGGAGATGTCATCCAACACATCCAGAGTGCCCCAGGTTGGGGAAAGCATGCTTAATCTAATTACTCTTCTGGAAAAAGCCAAAGGGTTAAAATCCTGAAATATTACCTAGCCTATACCAAGTGTGAGCAAAGGCTATACCTCCAGGTGCTCTGAACTTGCAGCTCCTAGAAGCCCCTGCCAGCATGGCCAATGTTCAGGAATACTGGGAGTTTAATTCCAAAACATCCCCTTTCTGCTCACTCCTGTCCTATTTAGCTGTCTGTCCTGCTGCATATTTAGCAGGTCCAGCATAAGTGACACAAACAGCAAATTTCTTAATTTACACATAATATAGTTCTATGCCTGGAAAATGGAAAGGCTACCTAGTGAAGAATGGAACGGGATGAATGGAAAAGGGATGCTGAGGGAACAGCATTATGACTGGATCACTGCTCCCCAGTACTAGTTTATAAATGTGCAGCCTGTATTTAAAGTGTTTATCTGGCTTTGTTTTGAAGACTTTATTCAGCACACAGGCAACGAGGGCATGCCTGCACCAAACAAACAGGGTATTGGCCCCTCAATAATTAGCTGGAAGCTGTACTTGAGTACAAAAAACCTGGGCATCCTTTTTATCCTCCACTGCTGAGGTCTCTTGGGTCCCCTGCAGCAAGAGCTGCTTTTTTGTAGAAGCAGCTGATAACTGTCACCACAGCAGGTGAAGCCCAGTGAAGACAGAGGCGGTACCAAGCAGGAGATGGCCCCAGAACGGGAGTGTTCCTAGCCCGGAACAGAAACACAAGGAAGGAGCGTCAATTCTTCACTTTCAGTGTAAGGTCCCATCCGGCAGGCAACTTCTCTTCCACCCCCGTCTTTATCATACACATAGTAGGCTCAGATGTGTGTGATGTCCTGTCCAGTGTGAGGTGGTTGTATCTCTTCAAGCTGCTGGATGACATCACCAATGTACGGCCGCTGCTGGGGATTCACCACCATGGTAGAGGAGAGGAGATGTTCCAAGGCAGGCGAGTACCTGGAATTGAGAGGTGAATCATACCAGGTTCTTTAGATGAAGGGCAGTCACAACCCTCCCTTCCTCGCAGGCACTCCTCACCTGGTGTTCTGGGGCACAGTGAGAAGGTTTTGCACAGCCAAGGCCACACTGTCCCCCTTCTGAAAGGTCATGTCATAAGGCCCTTCACCAAAGATCATGCAGTACAGAACACACCCTAAGGACTAAGCAGAGGCAAAGTGAGGCCCAAGAGCTGTGAGAAACTGTGCAGACAGCTCTTCCCACCCCTACACAGGGATGGACCAGCATGTCCCATCCTTCTGAGTCCTTGTGGAAACGTGACATGACACATTCTCCAAGAAGAAATGAAGGCCCTTACCCAGATATCTGTACGCTCATCAATAATACACTCGCGCTCAACGGAAAACAGCTCTGGTGCTCGGTATGAGATAGTGCAACGTTGGGCTGCCCAGTCCTGTGAGATAAAGTAAGAGAAGGAAACAGAAGTGAGCTGAAACTGCTGTGTGTGTGTGCGTGTGTGCATGTGTGTGTGTCAGGGGGCAAACAGAATCTCTCAGTCCTAACTTTTTCCTCTTGTAATTCCTCCTGACCACTAAGAGCAGCAAAAACTGTCTTTCAAAACAGTGACAGCAATCTTAAACAGAAAAAGATAGGAAAGACTCAACCAGGCTGCTGCCTACCAAAGAAAGAAATCCCAGGTTCCCTGCTTACCCACAGGCCTGCTATTTTAGATGTGTATTTTAGGAGTGGTCACATTACGATTTGCAACTCTATAATCTGAATAGAAATCTTGCATTCTACAGATACGTCCCTTATGGTTGCTCTTAGTTGCTTGTAACAAGAGCCACAGTACATGGGAAGGAAGGAAAAGCTGTTGCAATCCATTTCCTCCCTTGGACCAAAGGCTGGGGCAGGTTAAGGGAGACCCAATGTGAGGTGACTGTGGTTAAGGGAGAGGTATAGGGGTAGCTCCAGCGAACATAGGAAGCATTGAGTTAGATCATTGGTCCATCTAGCTAAGAACTGTCTGCTCTGACTGGCAGCAGGTCTGAGATCTTTAGGCAAAGGGTCCTAGCACAGTGGCAGACCACCAGCTTTGCATGCAGAAGGTCCCAGGTTGAATCCGCAGCAACTTCAGCTAGGGCTGGAAAATGTTGGAAAATTTGACATCCTACAGAATTGCTGCCAGTAAGTGTAAACAATATTGAGCATGGCAGATCAATGGTCTGATGCACCTTCCTATGTCTTTTCTATCCCTTTCTGAGTGTACAGCCTGTGCTTGCCACTGAGCTGTGGCCCCTCCTTCAAGATTTTCCATGTTGCAGAACAAAAGGTTGCAGAGTACTCCACCATTTCATTTTGCAAGCCCTTGTAAACATTCTCCCTCTGCTGCTGAACAGCATGTCTGTCTGAGCTTCTGGTTTTTATGGTGACATTTACTTTGGAATCCTCCCCTTTATCTTGGCTAAAGAAGCTAACCTCCCAATTCCTTTCCATCAGACCAACCTCATACCTGTATAGTCATGGCCTCCCTCGAACTCCGCACCTCAATGCGTGCCTGATTCATGGAGCCTAGGTCCATCAGCACTGGCTGGTCATCATCATCCAGCAACACATTTGTAGGTTTCAAATCTCTGGAAGAGGAAGGAGGAAGGATCCTTGATCATTTTGAGTCATAGAACCATCAGAGCTCTGCTCTTTCTTTAAAATCATAATTAAATGCAAGAGAGCCACTGTGGTGTAGTAGTTAGAGCACTGGACTGGAATCCAAGGGACCCAGTTTCTAGCTCCTGCTCGACCTCACTGGGTGACTGCAGGCCTAATCTACCTCACAGGGTTCTTGTGAGGATAAGATTGAGAGAAGGAGGACCATGCAAACTGTCTTGAGTTCTTTGAAGGAAAAAAGACAGGATATAAATATAATAAACAAACAGTATCTTCATACCTTGGGTATTCCCTATTGACAATATATATATATTTCTCCTCCTATATTTTTATTTTATACTGATAATTTTAATTTTATATTTGTAAATCAATGTATTTTTTGTATTTTTGTATTTAATGGTAATTTATTATGTACTATTGTATTTCAATGTATTTTATCATGTTGTAAGCCGCCCCGAGGTTTCGGCAAGGGGCGGCATAGAAATGTTATAATAATAATAATAATAATAATAATAATAATAATAATAATAATAATAATATTGCCATTGATGCTCCATGACACAATGGGGTTCCTTACCTTTGCAAACGGCTCGTTCTCAGTGCTCACAATGCTGATTGACAACCACTCATTCATCTGAACTCTACTTCCCCACCTCCCTGAGCACGTACATCTCTGTAAAAGTCCCAGAATGCTTTTGGCAAGCAGCTTCTCACCTGTGTGCATAACCCTTGTTATGAATGGCCTGCAGGCCCCGGCAGATACCATGAAGGATGGAGAGGATCCGCTCCTCAGGCATGAAGGCACCTTCATTTCGCAGAGCTTCCACCTCTTGCCAGAGGGTCCCTCTCTGCAAAGAGAAGCCAGGGGGCCTTGATGACTAGGACTGCACATTCTCTCCCCAGAATGACTGGCTAAGGGTAGATTGACTATATGCTGGGTCCCTCAGTCTGTGGCACAATAGCCCGAAGGCTGGTTTGGTGCAGCGTGCATATGCTCCACCGCCCTGCCAACTGCAAAGGTTCAAGGGACAGTGGGTTCTAGGAGGGTGGCAGGTGCGTCATTTGTGTGCTTTCTCAGAAAGAGCAGATCCAGCCATGGTCACACATGCACTGGTTGCATCCAGAATAGATTACTGAAATGTAGCAGATTAGAATAGATTACGGTGAGGGTTATGAAAAGTGCTTGGGATCTTCAGCTAAATACATTCAGAGTGCTACCTGGTTTTCAGGTCAGGGCATATACACTCAGTTTTGTTCACTTCCAAGCACAGTTCTTACGTGCTGGTTATTACCTATAACAGTTTGGAAACAGAAAATTGGAAGGACCACATGCTCCCTGACACACTCTTTACCGAATGCCCTGCTCAGGGTCATGGGGCCACCAGAAGTCTGCTTGGCTGGGGCATGAGACAGAGCCTTTTCAAGTACAGTGGCCTGCCTGTGCAATCCCCAACCTCAGGAGGCTCTTTGCCCTTTTGGTTTCTGTTAACATCTTATTCACCAAGACTCTAGGCTGTCTTAAGTGCCCTCACCTTTTCTGTGAATTATGTTTTATCAGTTATGGTGTTTAATTCAGCTTCATTTTTAAAAATGAAACTGCATTATATTTGAAAAGTGTAATTGAAAGTCATATTGGGGGCCCTAAGTGGAACCAAAAGGTAGGATAAATATAACTCTATAATGAAGAGAGGCTATTGAACCAATGGCAGTTGATACCTAAGTAGAACGGTTTTCTAGATCTAGTGGACTTAGCTATATTAGCTGGCTCTATCTTGAGGATGAATTTGTACACTCAGGAGAGACAAGAACCAGAAGGGTGCTCCAGCAAAGAAAGATCTCAGCCTCTCTGGGAATGGTGTCACAGTATATCATGCACCTCCCAGCAACACATGATTTATTCACAAATCCTACACTTCCCAGCAAGCACTGTGGTTACTCATCTGTACTGTATACCTAGATTCAGCTTTCAGACATGATGCTACACACCTCTCAGATACTCACCTTGAAGAAAGGCAACAGGAGCCAGGCCTCATGTTTGGATCCCTTCTCCACCATGGCATGTGCACACAGAGGCAGGATGTTGGGGTGCTCAAAGAGCAGGTGCATCTCTACCTCATGCATGGCCTCCTGGCGATCTTCTTTGTCGTGGCATATGATGCGCTTCAATGCATAGAAACGTCCATCGTGCAGCCCCTCAACTAAGTCCACGTAACTAAAGCCACTGTGTAGGGAGGAGGTATGTCAAGAACAGAGTGGGCAGCTTGGCAGAGAAAGGAAGGCAGACAAGCTGGAAAGGGTTCAGAGGAAGACAAGTTTGATCCAGGGACTGGAAACAAAGCCCTATGAGGAGAGATTTGAAAGGACTGAACATGTTCAGTCTCAGGAAGAGAAGACTGAGGGGATATGACAGCACTCTACAGGTGTCACAAAAAGGATGGATCTTTTCTCAATTATCCCAGAGTGCAGGACATGGAAAAATGGACTTAAGTTACAGGAAACCAGTTTTTCAAGATGCAACTGAGGATGTTCTGCACCTAGCAGGGGGTTGGACCCAATAGGCCTCTGGCCCCTTCTAACTTTACTACTTTATGATGGAAGTATTTCAATGAAGCAGACAGAATTCAGACTGCTTTTTTCTTCCCGCCAACCAGATATTTCCCAACTTTAAAAGCTCATAACTTAGGTTATTTCCTTCCTCTCATGTTGTCTGCCTACTAAGCCCTCCATTTTTACAGTCCAAAACAGTTTGAGGGGGGTTAGCTTACAGTTATATTATTTTTATGATTGTCTTGGTGATGCAGGGGCAGTATAGACATATTTAAATAAACTAACAAGTATTTAAAATATCAACATGAGCCTTCTTTTGTCACAAGTTTGGAGGGAACTGGGGGAAGAGAAGACTTTAAGGAGGTGTCAGTTTTCCTCCTTCCTGTCCTCTGTCTGGGGGACAAGGCCTAGTTCAAGCACTTTGGCATAAGGACCACCTTCTGGTTCCTCCTTGTCCTGTATCCAGCTCTGGCAAATAGGGCAAGAAGGCACAAGAACTGTATAAATTAATCAATAACTAGGGAGGTCAACCATATGCTGAAAGTATCTGTAAGCCATTGGGTAAACATTGGGACAGATCACCCAAGATCCCAAAGTTTCCTGCTGTTTCTTTTGAAACATTAAGCATTTTTTTCATAATCAGATATAAAACATAATCTGACAGCCTAGTTCCATGTGTTTTAGGTATCTAAAAGATGACATAAAGTAGAGGGAGAAGGTCTGTTTACCAAGGCTACTAAGGGAAGGGAGGCAGCAGGTTCAAGTTGTAGAAAAGCAGACTTTGCTTACATATTACTCAGGAATAAAATTTACAACTGCAACAAATGACCAGGCAATGGAATAAGTGGTTTAGATAAGTAATTTGTAGTCCAATCTTATGCTCTTTTGTTCAACTATAAGGTCAAATGGGACAAATTCAAGCAAAGTATGGTCTGATTTGCACATAATGGGAAACTATCAATTTAAAAATAAATGGATAGTCATGACTGAATGAGTATATGGTCTACAGCACACACACCTCTTCCTCTTTTGCTCAACAATCCACAATCAGCTCCTGGTGAATGTGATCTGCAGGATTCTTTAGGGGCTAAACAATCCAGGAGTTAATCCACAGTATATTTCGTTAACTGTTGAGTTGGTTAGGCCCTGAGCAGCCTAAGGGCCTGGATTTGGAAGTCACACCAAAAAGTTATTCATGGGTTGCTATGTAAAAGCTAAGAAAGAGGTATGTAGCAAACATGTGTTTGTATAGGATGGCAAACCTTAAGACAGCCTTCCTTCCCTGTGATGGTGCACTCCAAATGTTTTGGAACACAACTCCCAATATTCCTAACCAACCATGCTGGCTAGAGTTGATATGAATCAAAAGTCTAAACCATCTCGAGGACATTAGGCTGGAGAAGCGCAAAAAGACAATATTTTGGGACGGATTCACATCTGTTTTCCCTACCTGGTTCCCCCCATTATCTTGAATGACAACTCCAAGTAGGGCATATGGTTAAGCTAACTAGGGGTGGTAGGAATTATAGTCGGACCCTTTGGGAAGAAGCCAGATGGGAGAAGTATGATTTGCACAGAGGGAATATCGTCTCTGCAATGGTTGGACCAGGTTTCTCTAGATGAGGCTCGTTCCTCCCTGCTTTGCTGACAATGGCAGCGTGCAAGATGAGCATTGCCCTCTGCTGTGTTATACTTACCCCTCTCCAAGCCTATGGATTAAAAGGTAGCGCTTGTTGTTGATGGTGATGGTTCCCCTTGAGCAAATACATAGGGCATGACCCATGATGGCCACTCCAACATCCTTCAGGCCCTACAGAGGACAAGAAAGTAATAGCTGTCCACAACAGAATTATATGGATTGATGATGTTGATGCTTTGTATCCCACCTTTTCCTTCATGATAGCCATGATAACCAACAACATTAAAATCATAAAACATACAAATACAATATAAGAACAAAACTGATGCCAAGAAGGTGGCTGAAAACTAAAATTACACCATATCTGAATGTGCAGCATTGAAGATATCCAACAAAACAGGCCAGCTGCAATAAAAGAAAATGGGCCTGTCCATGAAAAGACATTTGAGAAAGGTTTAGATGTGCCTCCTTGAACAAAGTACCAGATCTTGGATGCAGCCAACGAGAAGGTCCTCTCCTCCACCAAACACTCTTCAGAAATTGGTTGGATGTGGGTGAGAGCCTCTCCTGAAGATATTAAAGCGTGGACGTGTTTGCAGTGGAAATATGGGCCTTCATTATAGAGTTGGAAGGGAACACAAGACTATCGATTTTAATCCCTACTGCAAAGACAGGCTCATCTACCCACCCACCCACTTTCCCTGCACCAATCAACACATGCAGTTTTAAAAGGCAGCATCCACCAACACAGGCACCAGCAGAGAGCAAATGGTCTCAGAATGCTTCAAAGAAGTGATTCAAGTCTCATGTTGCAAGGGAAGACAAACTTGAGATCCTCTGCCCCATCACCAGTTAATCTGTTGGGAGGGCTGCTGCAGAAGGAGTGAGGGTTATTTTCCCCTCCAAATATGGTGATGAGTCAAAAGCTACATTTTCAGAAAACATGTTCACTTATTGCAAACAGTCTCCTTACTGCCCCCAGGAATGCAAAATACCACTATTCATCTGAGAAGGGAAAGGAGGGTTGAGATGCCCCTACTCATTCTCAGGAAGGGCATACTGTGCTGCAGCATGTCTGTGGTGGCACACAAATGGCATCCCCCAACATACAAGGAAACTTGAGACAGGATACCAACTGAAGGATTTGAACTGACAACTCAACTTGGAAAGAAGGAGGGGAAGTAAAAAATGTCTCATTTTCTGACTAACAGAGGTATGCTGCTGTTTACAAATGCTTCACTTTTTTAAAATACAGCTAATACATATCTCATGGAAGTCCCACACCAGGGTTGCTGTAAATTCTATTTCATTGGAAATGTAATGATTTCTAATGCTGACTTAGATCTGTAGTGCATGTGGATCTCACACACACTCTCCTGAGATCCACACCTCCCTGATAGGTGTCAACTGCAGTTCATTTTACAAGCAAGTAAACACAGGACACCAGTTTCCTACTCAAGTGACTCCAAGTGGAATCATCCATCTAAATGAGCTACTATACTCCAGAGCGAGTACAAGAGGTTCAGAAACAACACAGCTCAGATTCCCCCCTATTCCTGGAAAAGGACATTTACGAGAGCGCGTGGAGAAAGGATTCATCTTCAGCAGACGAGATGCCTTTCCTCTAAACCCATCTGTGTCAACAGCTACAATGACTCCACAATGTAGGCAGCACATTTTGCATGTGCCCAGAGGCACGATCGTTTTTATTGTCACGTCATTCGTGCCAAAGAAGATCCTTGCCATTTAAAATTAGGTTACGGGGCACGGATCTCAAATTAATTGGGATGCAGCAAAAAATCCCGACACATTTTCTAGCCCCAGCAGGCTGGCGACAGGTATAAGACACCATAGACACCGTATCCTCGCTCATCCTAGAGCCCCGCCCACCTGTGGAAAAGGAGGGGCGGGAGGGGGCGACGTACTCACCCGTCTCGGACCAGCGAACAGAGGCTTCCCGCAGAGCGTCGGTGCGACCAGAGCGACTCACGCCATCCGCTGACGTCTTTATCGTGCGCCATCCACACAGCCGTCGGCGGAGGGTAGCCTAGCAACCATGTGGGGTGGGGTGAGGCGGACGAGCAGAGGCCTTGCATGGAAAAGAGAGTGACGGTCTGGGAACTCAGGAGCGGAATGTTAGTGTCAGAGCTTGGGTATGGGGAGACTGACAGGGTAATCCTGAGCATTCAGTAATCCTAATCCTCCTCAAGTGTAAGCCTCGTTGGTTGCTCTGAAGTTTACTTCCAGGTAAGTATGTCTAGGACTGCAGCTTGAAGCTAATTCTAGGCGCATGCGTATTTGCTGCGAAGTAAGTCACTGCCTTTAGTAAGGCTCATTCCTAAGTAAGTGCTCATAAGTCTGTGGCCTCCAGACGAGGTTTTTATGAAACCTGCGCTCTGCCTCGTCCACGAAGTTTTACGGGAAGGGCAAACGTCATTGTTGAACTTTAAAAAGAGGCCCCCGCGCTTTTAATTTTAGAATATTCGGAGAAAGGCAGAATATCTGCACAATGCCTTCTGATTCGTAATGATAGGAGCCCCTTCTATAGATGGAGCCTTACACTTACAGCATTGGTTAGGTCTCCTGTGTTCATTTGTAGTTTATTTCACAGGGATCTGGTGAAGATACAGCAAACTAGGCATTTTAAGACAATAAATTGTATCAAATTTTTATTCGCCTTACTTCAAAAGCTTAGGGCAGTATTTATACATTATCCCTGATCGTGGCTAGCTCAAGAGCATTCAGTGAACTTGCTGGCTGTCTAGGGATTTGAATGTGAGTTTTCTCCATCTTGAGTCTAGCAGCTCTAGCCTCCACAAGATACTGGAATTAAGAAGATTAATAATTGTAACAATGATATTAATTTTATTCCTTCTTAAACATTAAAACTCTGCCTCATTTATGAGTTTTCTGGGGTGGAGTTCAGATGACATCTTACATTTGTAACCTTTCTGTTCTTTTCCTACCTTTTCTTCTGTCTTTTTATTACTGCAGAAAAGCTATTAAGAAAGAAAAGAAGGAATAGTTCCACCATGCCTTCTAATCTGTAGTGTTAGAAGCCCTAGAATGTCAGAAGATAAGAAGAGACATGCTGGATCAGGTCAAAAGGTCCATCTAGTTCAGCATTCTGTTCACATAGTGATCAAACAGCTGCCTGTGGGAAACCACCAGTAGAACATGAGTGCAAAAACACCACTTTTCACATTTTCAGCAACTGGTGTTCCCCCATGAATTGGTCTAACTGTTTTAAAGACATCCAGATGATTGTCCATCACTACATCTTGTGATAGCGAATTCCATAGTTCAGCTGTGCCCTGTGTGAAGAAGTGCATTACCTGCAATGAATCTCCCACCGATTAGCTTCATGGAATGACCCCAGGATTTCCTAGTATTCCATGTAGCCTCATTGTGAATTAGAATCATATTAAAGCTGACATTTCTGGACCCTGATGTGTTTCTCATAATTTGCACCAATCAGTGATTCTCATGAGATCTGTGCTCCTTAGAAGATCCTATCCCATTGTGAGGTGGCACAGAATGTGGTGATGCTACGGGTGGTGTGGTTCTGGCTTTGATATTCTGCATAGTTCATTCTGGGATTATGCAGGGGAATCTTGCTGCTGAAAAGACAGAGTGACTTTAAAGTCCCTCAGAGTAAAAGGGCCTGTAGCTGACAAATGAGTTGCTGTAAGTTTGATATAGGTAAAAGCTCACTGGGGCTATGCATTTTTTTAAACTATTATATTTTGATATAATACAAAAGGTGAAGAGAAGGAAAACATACAGATTAACCAGATTGTGGGCAGATCCAAGAAGGTGTCACAGTCCTACCAATTGCATTGTGCAAGTGGTACCTACTGTTTGCACAATGGAGATACAACACTTGTGGGAGCAACTAAAAATGAATAGAAATGCTAATTTTCAGAATGGAGCAGGTCAGTATTTCTTGCAAAAGGGGGTTTTGCCAACTCAGCCAATCCAGAAATGAGTGTTTCTGCTAATTTCAGTGCTGCTTTAGGAAGAATTAAATCTTCATTGCACAAGACGTGGATCCTGCCTTCTCAGCAGAGCTGGCAGAGGCACAGCTCCCCATTGGATACTGTGCCAAATAAAACATTATTCACACTGAGAGCAGTACAATGGAATGCTCTCAAAATGGTCAAAATGCTATCTAAAGACTAATATATGACATCATTACGATACATTTTTGTCAGGTTTAATTCTGGGATTCTGCATTTGATACCCTCACTGGGCACTGATGGTCATGCATCACACTATTATAACATGCTCCTTGCATGCTATGGAAGGCCCAAATTGAATGATATACTACAGATGCAAATGTAGCCACAGTTAAGTCATGTAGAGTCATTAACCACAATGTCCACTGCCTTGGATGCAGGAAGCAAACGGGATAATCTGTGAACCATGTTTTATCTATGCCCTTGATAGAATGGTTAGATAGTAATTTGAGGATTTGCTTTGACAATTCTGATTATTTCTATTGGAAAAATTATGCAACCTCTGTATACTGGCTTCCCGGTACAATTTAAGTCATAAACCGAGTGATCCTAGTGCTTTTAGACAGCATCTAGAGTACTTTGGATAGCCAAATATAAGGTCAGAAAAGGGCTTCAACTTGAGATCGCCACTTGGATCACACCTTGTCCCACACAGCTGGTGTGGAAATCACATATTTACTTCATAATGATGCAAAAGCTGGACATGCTCAAAGAAATACGAAGTGCAGGGGAAACATCCATTACTCACAAAAACAAGCTTTTTTTTTCTGAGTGGCTAGACATGTTGAGCAACAGCCATTTTAATCTTCTAAGAATGCCCCTGGGGCCCACATTTTTAAATAAAAATTAAAAAAGCATTTAATTCAGCATTTGAGCTGCCCAGTTAAACAGATTTTTAAAAATAACTTTACTAATAAGAAGGTCTGACAAGTGCTAAAAGAGGTTCTGTGGGCACACTGTGTTCAGGGGCACTGCACAGGAGACCTCAACCCTATGGCCTTGGAGACTTTCCAGTCGGAGGAGACCATTCTGGACTGGGTAGACCAATGGCCAATTTCAGTATAAGGAAACTTCATACATACTGAATGGTTGGGATGGCCCAAATAAACATTTTATCATTGCTTTAGTTCAGAGGAACTTGCATGCCAGTTCTTTTGCTGTAATTCCTGAAAAATTGAGAGGGACAGGGCTCATGGAATAACAAGGACAGGACTGTATCAGTTGGGATAGTTGTGAGAAATCATACTCTGTTTTAGTATTAGATATGGGAGCAGATCCAGGAAGGTGTTGAAACAATGGTTTAAGCACAAGTCACAGCATGTAACAAGGCTGAAACAGCACAATCTTTTATCTTGCAAAGAAAAATAAGCACTGATTAATAATGGCAGATTGGATGCCAAAATACAATTTAATTAAATGACTGGAAGTTAAAGCTAGGTTTAGCCATATTAGAAGTCAGTTTCCAGAATTTAGCAAAAAATACAAATTAATCATTAGAACAAGCTGCTGGTGGTAGGGAGGAGGGTGCATTTTCCATCACTCATAGTCTCCATATCATTTGGTTAAATGTAATGTGAGAGCATCCAGTACTAATCTAAAGGAATCTTCTCATTTAGGGTACCTAAGGGAGGTCAAATAGTCTGTTCTTTTCACTTATTTATTGGTGTAATCAGTTGGGTGTCTCAGATTCTGTTTTAACAAGACCTTGCTTAATCAACCCATTTAGTTCAGCTCATTTATGTTTGATACTTCACTAGACCATTTAAAAGTGCCCCAATATTGCTTACATATAAAGGATAGTAAAATAAATCTTATCTAAGACAAGGATGTAATGAGTAGGAGCCAGTTCTACTGCACAGAGCCACACTCATGAATCCTCTGTGCCTGATTAAAATCATTAGTGACAAATGACAGATAGCTGTGCAATACAAGCTCTGCCTTCTCTCTTTTTCTCTCTCTCCTCCTGCTTTGATCCCCATACCTCAAATACCTTCGAATGTTTCTGGTAGTTTGAGGAAGTGTTCGGATTTCTTGAAATCTGAGTACAGAAATCAGTTTCCATTTCCTCAGGGCTGATCCTTTATTTTCTACTCCTTGGATTCAGAGGGAGCATGGTCCCTCATGATCTCTTCCTCTGTTATAAGGTCACTGACTCTGGATATAGATGCACAGTTATTGTCCTCTTTCTTTTTCATTTTAAAAGGTCTTGTTTGTGCTTGCTTCCTGCCTTGCAGGCTCCATCCCCCAACTTTGGACAAAGCATCAGAGCCTGCCCACTAACTGGTCATGTGATGACTCTCTGCTACTCCCTGTCTCAGGCTGAAGTTGCTGCCAAAGAGATGGGGCTGTGTCTGTATGCCCTGGTGGTGGTCGTGCTGTTGGGGGACCTGCAACTCCAGGTGAGGAAGAGAAAGGAGCTTTTGGGAGGGCATTTTCTTGGTGGAAGCAACTGAGATGACTTTTATCGCAGGGCAGCTAAGGGAACTTGAAGGATTTCCTTAGTGCCTGCTCTAGGTCCCCCCCCCCTTACAGTTAAACTTGAAACCAAGCTCTTGCTTGAATATTTCTAGCACCACTCTTCCATCCCCCAGCTGTTATTCTGTCTCTTGTTATTGGGTTATCGGCTCTGCTACTGAGTAGATCTTTTATGTGATATGAGTATCTGGGAGATCCCCAGTGTGGCACATCTCCATCTTGCTTTTTAAAATATTCTGCAACAAGAAAATAATGCCATTCCTTCATCTACAAAGCAGAGACAGGATGGTTGGGCTCCACTGAGAAGCAGTCTGTAGTAATTTCATGGGCAGGATAACATAAGAGGACTAAAAATAACAAAATCTTACGTGTGTGTGTGTTTGTGTGTGCTGGCTGGAAATAGGAACAAATACTGACACAAAATAATGGATGGTGCTAATAGCTCCAGAATGTGACTCAGCAAATAGGCCCTATGTGGTATCCAGGTATATTTAGGAATACTGGACTGTCTTGGAGCCTTGGAAGAGGATCTGAGCCTCAGGTGCATAATTTGACATGGAAGTTAGATTTGAACTTGCAAAATGTAGAGAGTGGAATAAGATGAACATGAGCATGTGCGGGCATATTGTGTGACATGCCTATGTGTACTGGGTTGCATTCAGGGAATGCTTGTCATACGTATTTGCATTCTGAGAGATTGCATTGTCTGGCCCATTTAACATGACATGGCAGGCTCAGCATGGCTTATTTGAATATGCAGCCTCCAGTGGGCTTCTGGCATGTGATACAAACATGGCCACTATGGATTATTTGAGGGTTAAACAACTCTCAGAGAACCCTAGTACAAACTGACAGTTAATGTAAGAGTTGTTTAATCCTCAAATAACCTGAACAGCTGAGTTTGGCCGACACGCTGCAACACCTTTGGAGCTTGCACATTCATAATCACACCAGGCGTACACCATGGCTTTTGTTCATCTACTGTTCACACCAGGTTTCTATGTGTGGGGTATGCAGTGAATCCAGGAAGCCTCCATGCAAAGCAGCAACATTATAAGATTCTTATGAGAACAGCCAGTGTCAACTTTACTACCTGAGCTCCTCAACTATCTCCTGCTATGGCAGAGAGGCAGGGAATGGCACTCCTTATCTGATCTCCTAGCAATGTATGGGGTAATGTTGCAGCTTATTAAATATGTTCTCTTTCCCTGCTCCTGGATGCCAGGTCACTTCAGCAGCCCGTTCTTTCAGCATTGATTATGAAAATAACTGCTTCCTCAAGGATGGTGTTCCATTTCGCTATATCTCAGGTAGCATTCATTACTTCCGTGTTCCTGCTGCTTATTGGAAAGATCGACTTCTCAAGATGTACATGAGTGGCCTCAATGCTGTGCAAATGTAAGTGACAGGTGGAAGCAGAACTATTTTGGAACATAAATCTTTGTGTGGTGGAGTCTGGAGGCTCAAGGTGAACAGCTCAAGCTGAGCAAGGATGGAGCTGGCCCAAGTAACGAGGCCTTCAGTGTATTCAGCAATCTCATCTAGGGCATTTTAGGGTTGCTGCTCAAAATGAGAAAACACAGATGTCATACATATGTGCATATACATACCATCCTATCTAAAGCACACAAGAAGGAATGCAAGAAGAAAATTAAACCTGTACCTGTTATTCCCACTTTTTCTTTAAGATTAGGAGAAATACCTCTTTGCATGATCCCAAGTTGGAAAATGGGGTTTTTTGTTCATGTCTTACCCCTGATGTTTACATTCAATAGTTTAACATACTGGTCTAAAAAGCTAGATTTGAAGGTTTCAGATGAACTTCAAAGAAGAAGAATGGGTAATGTGTAGGGTTCGGGGCCCCAATTTTAATAGACTTCTGTCTTCTTTATCCAAAAAAATCTCCTTGGTGGGGTGCAGAACCTCTTTCAAACCAAGGGCCAAATTCCTTTTTTCAGATGCTCTGTGTATGTGTGGGGGGGGGGGGGGGGATTACATTCCAGTGGTGTGCAGGGCCAAAAGGAAAAGAGGTGGAGCCACAAATAGCATATTTTAGCTTACATCTTATTGCCAGTAGTATGTCTTAGGAGAGGCAATCCATTCTTTTAGAATAAAGTGAAAAAACTGCACAAAAGCAGGGGAAATGTTTAACCATTGATGGTTGCGGGAAAAGGGTATGGCCATCTGGGAAACCTAGAAGGCCAGGTCGGAACCTCAGTGAGCTGGATTTGATCCACAGGCCTGAAGTTCTGCACCCCTCTCTGATAGTGTCCTCTTTGTCTCAGATTCCTGTTTCAAGCTGAAATATGTATTTCTATTTCTCAGCTATGTACCCTGGAACTACCATGAGTCATTTCCTGGTATCTACAACTTTTCTGGAAACCGAGACCTCGAGAGATTCCTGGACCTGGTGGCCCAATTAGGCCTCTTGGTGATCTTACGACCTGGACCCTACATTTGTGCTGAATGGGAAATGGTGAGGGCTTTTGCAAAAATGTTCAGAGGTATTGTGACTCACTTTGCTTGTTCTCATATCTTCAGCAACTATGTTTATGATAATAAACCTCAGATCTGCACATTCCACTATGGATTCTCACCTTCTGACTAGTTCTCATTGTTTGGAGTGGGGCGTAAACATCTACACACTCAGATTTTACTGGCAAGGTAGATTGACCTTTTGACCTTCTTTCCTAGGGTGGCCTTCCATCATGGCTGTTGACACATCCAAATATTACCCTGCGTACATCTGATCCAGGTAAGAAGGAACATCTTAATCAGAGAGGGTGGGTGACAGGCACTCTGGATTTCATTTGAACTCTACAGATTGTTGGATGCCTTTGTTTTGGTTCTGGGTTGTCCATACTAAGTTGGTAGAATGCCACTCATCTGGCCTTCCTGGCTCCCATATCTCTTCTGCAGAACTGAAATATCCCTGTGAGGGTTGTAAAACGGCCGAAAGGCCCTTTCAGACCTCTTATCTTAGCGACTATGTTGGGAATTGGGCAGCAGCATCCCAGACCTTGACTGAACGAGTGGCTTTTTGTCCTCAGATTTCCTGGAAGCTGTGGACAAATGGTTGGATGTCCTGCTACCCAAGATCAAGCCCCGTCTCTACCACAATGGTGGAAACATCATCAGTGTTCAGGTGCGTGCAGTGTAGGCCCTATTTCAGCATTATGTTTCACCTGATTGTACTTCTAGGATTAGGAGTGAGTGACTTAGAATGAGTTACATAGCCTCCAGCTTCTGTCCCCTCCGAGAGTTAGTTATTCTGCCTGAATCTATATGGGAACAGGAGTCCAACAAAATCTGGCAGGTCCTGGGATGCTCACCACTTCTCCAGTGGCTTTCTGATCTGAGGCATATTCCAGCCTGAGCAGCCAACTAGAGCAATGCAAGAAGAGCTAGTTGAATTGGTGCAGTCTCCAAGTGAGCAAAAGTTAAGAGTATGGGTGGCTGCTCAGTGCCATTTCCAGTGCAGCTACCGCTATGTGGCCAGCACTAGAACTTTCTGTAGAAGAAACAGGCCAACCAAGATGTCACTTCATTGCCACTGCCTAAGCACTGAGTAGCCTTTAAGCAAAATGCCATCCTGATTGAACTTTCCCTTCTATAGAAAATGTAGATAATGATGGTGCAGTGGGCTTCCACTTGGCCTTGCCTATAGAATGTACTGTATAGAAAGTGCAGAAATACTAGAAAGCAGAAGAGCATTAAAGGGGCACCAGGTAGAATTTATATACCTTACATCACTACTTTACACCTGTCTCTTGCTATTAATCTGGAGAGATATTGATAACAATGAAACCCTTCACCTGCATTACGAGCTTGGCACTTCCAGGGTATCATGTTTATTTCCTTAACGAAGTGTGAAGTTGTACCTACTTGAGTGACCAGCATCTAGTGTAAAAAGGATTTTGTATCACAGTAGTAGACCTAGTATTTGACAGATGAAAACAGCAAAGGCTCTTTCAGGCTCAGTAAGGGCTCCTGAGTCACCATTCTTTAATGTCTGCTGTTCTCCAGGCAGATAGAGAATGAATATGGAAGCTACTATGCCTGTGACTATGACTATATGCGTCACCTATTGGCTACCTTTCGTGCATACCTTGGCAAGGAAATTCTGCTCTTCACCACTGATGGCATCTCAGCATCTGATCTCCGATGTGGGACACTGCAGGGCCTATATGCCACTGTTGACTTTGGACAAGGTAGTGCCTGGCTGGGTTTGCTCAGATGGGATTGTCAGGAGTCAACAGGGAATCTTGGTTTGACTCCTGCTCTTCTCTTTGCCCTTTAACAGATGAGAACGTGACAAAGGCATTTCAGCAGCAGCGACGGTTTGAGCCAAAAGGGCCACTGGTGAGAGGGCCTTGGTCTGTGGAATGATGGCACCCCATATTCTCAGTAATGGGCACCCATTGCTTGTTCCTTCTGGGCACCCATTTCTCCAATAAAAAGGCCACGTTTCTTTTAGGCCATACTCTGGCTTGTTTCCACCTCCCATGGTGTCTATTGCTTGCCATGCTTCCCAAGTATCTTCCAAGAAGCAAGAGGACTCATGAGTGTTGAATCCTTATTTATTGATGTGGTTACTTTGCTGCTGCTGGGATAGATACTGCCCTGTGTTGCAATGTAACCAGCTCTCAGAAAATACAGACTGCCTTGGCCACTACGGGGATGAGGAGATATGCATCCTGCACAGCAAGATTCCAAAATGGTCAGGGGCAACACTGGCATTTTTTAATTCCCGTGCTTCATTAAAAGTGTTGAAAGTGACTCATCTACTACTCCATAAAGGATTGAATTCTACCTTCCTCCTAGGTGAACTCTGAGTACTATACAGGATGGCTGGATTATTGGGGTGAGCCACATTCCACAAAACATGCCGAAGATGTGGCTCAGGGCCTACAGAAGATACTAGAATTGGAGGCCAACGTCAACATGTAACCGTGAGGCCATAGGGGAGAGTGGGCAATAGAACTTATGAGACAAAGAAGCAGGGGCTAGCTGCTAGATGCAAATCCATGGCTCTGCTTCTCCTTACCTACTGCAAATCTCTCATTTTTCCCTGAAAAGTGCATCTGTGTGAGTAATCTTCTCTTGTTATCTTTGGTCATTTCCATGACTGACAAAGGTCCCCTACAGAATCCTGGGCCAGAGACTTTTGCATTCCAATTGCATCTATTGCCCACTGTTTCAACACTCGCATCTGTTTCTGTCATTGCCTTGTTATTTCAGTGGGAGGAGAATTCTTATTGTGATATTTGGACTTCTTGCAGGTATATGTTCCAAGGTGGCACCAACTTTGGTTACTGGAGTGGTGAGTGTCTGGCTTCTGCTTCAACCAAGACTAGGAAAATGTAGTTTCTGGCCAGAATGGAAGTGCCTATAATGGAGAGGGGGCATTAAGATAGGGATGCACAGTTTATGGTCTTCCAGATGTTTTGGCTTACCTCTCTCATCAGTGCTAGCCAGCAAGGCCAATGATGTGGGATGATGGGAGCTGTAGGCCAAAACATCTTAAGCATCATAATGCTGCCTGCTTCTACATCAGGAGATTCAAGGGCCTGCCTTGTTCTCACAACCTTTTCTGTTCAGGTGCTGATTACAAGGATGGTTACAATCCCATCACTACTAGCTATGACTATGATGCCCCTCTCTCTGAAGCTGGAGACCCTACTGACAAGCTGCATGCCATTCGGACAGTCATTGGCAAGGTAGGAGCCCGATACTCTGAGTTGCGTGAGATGCAGTCACACACTTGATACTGATTGGAAGAGAAGGGGCTGCTTACCGCTCTGTTGTATGAAGCATATGGTTACACAGACATAGGCTCATCAAGATGTAGTCAGTCCCCAGGTTACAAACAAGTTCTGTTCCTTAGAAAATGGAAATTCATCTTTAAGTTGAATTTGTATATAAGTCATCACGTATAGTCAGCCCTCCACATTCACAGGGGTTAGGGGCACAGGACCACCATGAAAGTGGAAAAACTGTGATTATCTCTAGTCCTCGCCCGAACTCAGTGCCTCCTCTTTGCAGCATGGAAATGCTGGAGAGACTTCCCTCTCTGGATAGGAAGGCATGCTTTGGAGGCCTCCCTTTCTGTGGTGATAACAAATTTTCACAGTACTTTTTAAAAGCCAATAGGCCTTATGGCAGTTCATTCATAAGCAGAGGTTGTTCACAAGTTGGGCGTTTGTAACTTGGGGACTGCCTGTACATTGTTTTCAGTTTAGTAACTTAACTGCCAAATAATTCAATTTTGTTCTTTGGGACAGAATTGAATTGGCAGTATTTCAGGACATCAGCTGTGCTATTGTGTATAGTTAGACCTGTCTACCAAAATGAGTTACAAATTTGGCAGGGGTAGTTTTCAGGAGTGGGGGGTTGGGTTGTGGGTCCTGCTTGTCCCAGTCTCCAGCTCATCTATTTCTCTGCCCCCTTCTTTTAAAATTGAGCATGCACACTACTTTATCTCCCTGTACTGCCTTGAAGAAAGAGAAGGATGGCATAGCAGCAGGAAGGGAGAAGACAGAGGATGACACAGGAAGGAATCTACAGCACTTCTGCTTACTTGCTCACTCATCCCACACCCAGCATTACAGCATAGCACGGAAGAGACATGAAAGTGGAAACTCAAGGATTCTCACCAATAAAAAATCAAGAACAGAAATGTTTTAAACAGCACTGAGATGTTCAGTTGAATTAAATGCTTTTTCCCAGTTGCACCCTGGACTGCCATTCTTGAGCAGTCAATGCAATGAAGTTAGGCAGAAAAACACACTTTATTTTTATCATTGATTTCTCCAATCCATTGATTCGCAAATTCACTCTTGTCACTCCCCTTTTCTCCTTAGATCCTGTGAAATAGTTTGCAACTATAGTCTACTGATATTCGACTTCAGCTGCTGTGTAAAGAGCTATTATCTGAAACACACGCCCAATTCCTTTGACATGTTTTTTAACTTTAGTTTCAGGTGGTGCCTGCAGGACCAATGCCACCCCCCACCCCAAAGTATGCATATGGCTATGTAACCCTATCACAGGTGAGTCAGAAGTGGAAGCCATTCTCTCCCAAGTAAGTTTGCTTGCTTGCTAGATAGGCTGACTCTGCTCCTTCATGGACCTACAATACCCAGATTCATGGCCTGCCAAGGATAATTTAACCCATGATGAGCTATGCTGACCTTGTTGCAGGTCCCTCCACTTGAGATTTGTCATACACACCTGCTCTAGGGTCATGTGCTGGTTGCTTAATGTTTGTGTAACCTATGCACACCAGGCTCCCCTCACACAAGAGCCCCCAAGGAAGGTTTGCATATTCAGATTTGTGGCTGCACATGCTTAGCATGTGCTGCAGCCTTAGTATGTGTTAACTAATCCATTGTGGGTTGTCACATCATGGAAACAGCCCGGTGTCTTCTGCCTATTATCTATCCGATTAGAGGTAAAGGCAAGTGGATCAGGCAAGAAGATAAAGTAGGGAGGAGGTCAAAGGTGATCTGGTAGGGATTCAAAGCCCCTTCGGTGCTGATACCACCACTGTGCAGTTCTCCTCCTGTAGAATATCAGTAGACTGCCTTGCCCCCTTTTTAGATAGCATTTCAGAGAGGTATTTGTTTATGGTTGAGTCTGCGGTCTCTATTGTTGTCCATGGCTTACCGTTCACTTTAATTTGTGGGTTCTTTGTAGTTTTGTAAATATGCCATTTTGGAAGAAAAAGTAGAATAGAAATAAATATAGTTAACTACTCCTTTCTCACCCTCCTCTTTCTTGTAGCGTGTGACTCTACTGGACATTCTAGGCCTTATCTCGCCTTCATTGCCGATTTATTCTTCCTTCCCCCTCACTTTTGAGGCTCTGAAGCAGGTAAGAAACAGAAGAGGAATCTTTATCAGCAGTCAGAAAGTCTGAGCACCTGGTGGGGATTGTCTTTCCTGTTTGTTGCCTGGAGTATTGGTCATACCTGAAGGGGCCTCTGTTCTGTATTCCAGAGCCATGGTTTCATGCTCTACCGGACTATTCTGCCACATGACATCCTGGAGCCCGAACTGCTCAGTATTCTTGAGAATGGGGTCCATGATCTTGCCTACATTATGGTCAATGGAGTAAGGTGGAAAAGGGGGTTCACCCTTGTGATCAGGGAAGATTATCCTTTACTGCAATTAACTGCAGCATTAAACAAGTCCTGGACCCTCACTGTGAGATGGTCAGAGCACACAGAACAGCTCTGCATATCCTCCTCAATTACAAGTGACTGTTAATCCTGTTTCTCCCTTTCCTTCATCAGGAGTACAAGGGGACATTAGAACGGGACAAAGTGAACGAGATCAAAATATCTGGCCAACTTGGGGATACACTGGACGTGTTGGTGGAGAACATGGGTCATATCAACTTTGGGAACAATGAGAGTGACTTTAAGGTACATCTGGACAGGAGCCTTGGGGCTACTACTGCCAGAGTAATGGTTTGATTAATGCTTCCACTATTGTCTGCTGGAGGTAAGTTGTGTTGCAATGGACTTCAAAGGAGTCACAGATTATTTTAGGTTTCCAGTTCCAAGGTAAAAGACAGCACCTCAATTTCAAAACTGACCCCAACTCCCTTCCCCAGCCAGCATGCCTCTCTGAGCAAAGGAGCATAATTCAGAGACACATAGAAGGGGCTTTTATGGGCTGTCCTGACACTTCCAACCTCCTTCCCTTTTCCTACAGACAGGCAAAAATGTAGGGCAGGGGAACAAGGAAACAAAGACTGCCTCCTCCCATCCTACAGAGAACTCTTGTAAATGTCCATGTTTGGGAGCTTACAAGCATTGAGGGTGCTATGCATAGGACTGCACCCTAAAGGGCATGGCTGGCTGTGTTAGGCTTCTAGCCTAAGCTGAACACTGACCATCAAGAATACCAGTTAAGAATTTGTGACTAAAGTTTGTGACTGGAGATGGGAGACTAGAGTCCAGTTAAAGAACTGGAGGTCTTCCACAAGCTTTGGAGTGTTGTCCGACCTTAGGAACAAGAGGTATAGTGCTGCACAGGCCGTTTTTAGTCACTCCAAGTTCTAACAGCCTCATTCAATAGTGTGACTGATACCAGATCCAAACACAAGTGGTGGGGTGGTGAAATTGTATCTCTGTGTTGATTATTTACGTGCTCTATTACCTGCTCTAACAGTTTCTTTCACATCAGCAAATTACCCTGCATAGGTACTTCCTTCCTGTTATAGAGTAATTACGCCAGCCAAGAGGAAAGTTGTGCCTAGTTCTCATCTCTCTCACATTTTAAGACCAAAAGATATCATTCACTTTCCAGTTTAGGGAAGGGTCACTGCAGGGCTATCCTGCTCCTCAGAGATGTGAGAATAGCAAAGTAGTACTTTTTCTAGCACCAGACATGGAACTGTTCTGCTCAAGGGGGAAAGTACCTTAGCACTACCCTACTTTTAAGAAGAACTGCACTGAGCCTTGTAATCTTTCAAGGAGGAGTCGCTGGAGGAAAGGTTGGATATATTTGGATAGTGGCCAAGAACTTTACCAGTTGCACTAAATGATCAATAACAGAGTTGTAGTTTAAAAGATGGGTGAATGTTCTTCTGTTATTCCAGGCTGCACCTCACCTGTCTCTTCTATCACATCTTCCTACCCAGGGTCTAATCCACAATCTCACACTTGGTTCCTCCATACTCAGTGATTGGCTTATCTACCCCCTGGACATTGACTCAGCTGTGGCCCATGCATGGCCTCCAGTTGTCTCACTGAGTAGTGGGACCACAGGACCTGCTTTCTACACAGGAGCCTTCACAACACCTGGCATCAGCCAAGACTCCTATGTGAAGCTTCCAGGCTGGAGCAAGGTACTGCAATTCTGAGACTAAGCCCAGGTTTTTGGGCAGGCCAATCTCCAGATAGGCAGGTGTATTGTTTCTTCAGCATCTGGGAAGCAGGCATTCCTTGCAAATCTAGACAGCTGGTTGCAGCTTGTATAGTACACTTACTGTATTGGCACTGTATAAAGGCATAGAAGGGTCAAAAACAGGTATGAAAATAGTTTTGCCCTTCCTCTGTCCCCTGCTTCAAGATCAAATTGCTGGTAAACTTTTAAAATAATGGACAGGATTGTAGTCTAAGGGAGTACTCGTAAGTTAGTGGGATTTATTTCTTAGAGAATATTACCGTTACACTAGTGAAGCTGTTTCTCTTTTCTCAGCAGAACTTTCTCCCTCTAGGAGCAAGCAGCAACACAGGGAAGTGACTAAGCAGATAAGACAGAAGTATTATCTTACAAAAGCTCCCCTTGTGTTTTCACCTAGGGCCAGCTCTGGATCAATGGCTTTAACTTGGGCCGGTTCTGGCCAGCTCGTGGACCCCAGCAAACGCTCTTTGTGCCTGGCCCACTCCTCAATGCCTCAGCCCTCAACACTATCGTGATTCTGGAACTGCAGAGTGCTCCAGAGAAGCCCAACGTGCTCTTTGTTGATCGGCCCATTCTCAATGGAACCAACAGCTTCATGCATAGAAGCACAGGGGAGTAGAAATGTCTATCCTGCTGTAAAGCTGCTCTAAGAGAAAGCATCTCTAAGAGAAATTCTTCCTTGAAGCCAACATGTTTCAGAATGTTAACTTCTACATCGAATGAACAGAGTACTCTTTAAGATCAATGTTCTCCTGTCTTGTGTCAAGATTGTGGCTTAAAGCTGGGTGTGGGGGGAGAAGAGATCAGGATAACAACGTGCATTTAGATACTCAGACTGGCACGACTCATAGCTGATGTTCTAGCAGACTGCTCAGCAGGTCAGAATCTTAACAGCTAGCATAGGATTGTAGGCATTAGCCTCCAAATCAAATTACATCAGCCTGGCATGGCTCTGTGGTTCACTGTATTTCTCCATTGTGCATGGGGGCTGAGGAGAGAAGTTTTAGGAAGGAGGAACAGATTTATACCTGCATCTGTAATCTACTCAGACAATACTGTAAAAATGATGAGCATTAGTGCTATGAGTGCAAAATATAAACAAAGAGGCATAAAGTGGTGGTAACACAAATAAACATATATCCAACATCAATAGCACTGAACAAACTCTCTGCTAATTCAAATTATCAAGCTCCCTGGCTTTATCTTAGTCCTAAAATTATCCTGCCTAACATTTGAAGCCATAGGTTTCACAAAGGTATGGCAGCAGAATGATGCTCCTGCAGCCATTGCTTTGTGTGAGGAAATAAGGATTGATCAAAGAAAACATTCGCATAATATATTCAACTCCAGGTAGAATGAACAGTTTTGATTTATTCATTGCTAGTAAAAGAGATGTTTGTCCTTTTTCAGAGCTAGGAGTATCAACCCTCCCATTTCCCTCACGTAAAATCCTTCTGGCTTAAAATGGAGAAAAGAATCCCAAACAGTAGGTACCAGCTGCCCACATTCATTGCCTCCCGGACACACAGAAACACCTACTCAGTTCTGTCCTTCATTCTCCCATACATGTGATAGCAAGCCATGTAGTTTAATTTCCATTCAGATTCTAGCAAGCATAGTCCACTAGTATGTAAACAACCAAAAAAAAAAATCCCCTAGCTAGGATGGGGTAGCTTTCCTTTCACGATGAGCTCGCAGACAGCTGGTGGAGCAGAAGGAAAAGTCAAGGTAATGGAAAGGAATGCGGCCCAGCAGTGACTCTCCACAAAGCCAGCAGCGTCTGTAAATACCAAAAAGAAAGTATCATGTAACCTTGTAGTTAGAAAACAAACTAAAAAGCAGATGCCATTCTCCCAAGATACCTGGTATTGGTTAAAGGTGCACCAGAGTCTTTCAATTGGACAGCAAGTCTTCTCTCAGCAGCTAAAGCACGCTAAAAGAAAAATCAGTCCATTAAGCACAAAAGAACTAGCCCCCATGGTCCACAGGGAAAATGGCCCCCATCTCTCAGTGCATAAACCTGTACATAATCAGCACTGGGGATTCTCTTAAGTGATTTGGCCAGCACATTCCCCTGGTGGGACCAAACTATGGAAGGAATCTGCTTTTGTCACAAAATTAGTCACTTCTGATTCAAGGGAGCCGCTTGACTTTTAAAACAACAAAAACTAGAACAAATGTCATCAGAGAACATCCTCAAAGGAGGGGGAAGTATTTTAAAGGGAGTATGGCAAAGATTCCCAATGATCTTACAGTAATCAAGGCCAGAGTGTGTGCTTATCTATAACAAGAACGGGCTGTCACGAAGCAGCTTGTTCCAAGTCCCTTCTCAAGGTTACTGTGGCTTGAGACAAAGGAAATATTTGGAGTACATTCCAACATGACACACTAAGTAGCTCTCCAAAATTGAAGACATTACTTATTCTAAAATGCTTCCAGACAGTTTTGCATAAGTGTAGCCCTAACCCTATGTGAAAGATACATATAAATAAAACATATCAATGGGATGTCTGGCAGAATACAACAAAGAAATGGATAATTCTCAAGAATGAAGATGGTCAGTTCAGAAAAATGGAGTTCTTTAATGGAAATGGAAAGCTTTAACAGCTGTGAGCACCTGAAGTGAATGGCACTTCAGGTTGCCCCCTTTCCCTGTTTGAATCACATGGGATGATTGGGCTCTTACCTTCTCACGGTCACTCAGCAAGGCAAAACGCCGTTTCTCCTCCTCCTCTTTCTCTAACAGCTGCTGTACCTCTCGTTCCTCTTTCTCACGCTGCTTCCGTTGGGCCTTGTGTGCCCGGCGGCGCTCTGTCTGCCTAGTCTCCATTTCAGCTGTAAGGGGGCCAGGCACCTGTGGTGACACTGAATTTGTGCATCAGGCAGAACAGGAGCAGATCTCAGCATCACACAGGCAAAATGATCTTGGGAAGGACTAGACTAGGGGTTTCCTACCATTTGGGGCTCCTGAACATGTGGCATTTTGAAAAGCAACCTGGGACTCAACATCAACTGAGTGCTGAGTGGGGACAATCACAAAAATGTTAGGAGTGCTCCCTTCTGTTTGTGTGCCTGTGCATGTGTGTGGGTGTGCATGTTCACACATGTGTGCTTATTTAACTTCATTTCTATCCCACCCATTAGCTGAAGCTCTCTGGGCAGTGTGCAACATGAATGTGCATTCCACCTCTGGCCTTCTCCCTCCCTCCCTCTGAATTGTTTCTCATGTTCCTCTTTCTTTTCCTCCACATCCCCTTCTTTCTAGCTCCTTTCTTTTCCCCCCCTCTCTGGACCGTCTTTCTCCCTCCACCCTTTCCGCTGGTCATTCCTTCTTTTTCTCTGGTCCCTCTTTCTTTCCCTATCTCCCCATCCCCATGCAACTGAGTGGAGCAACTTCTCCATTCATTTGCATGGAGAGAGAGACCACCTTGCCAAGGATCCTGTTGCCCCAAAGATCCTTGTTTGGGAGACAGCTTTGCTCCTCCACCTTTTTGTTTTTGGCCATAGGGGCTCTTTTACTTTCTATACAACTATATATGACTCCAAACTGAAGATCCTTCTACAAGTCCATGGGTATTAAGCAAACTAATTTTCCAGTGAGGAATAGTACCACAGGCTTTTAGTGGGAGCTAAGAGAGCCTGGCAGGTGAACACAGTGGGACCTGCGGCCATCATGTTGGGAACTCCTGAACAGACGTTCCCCCTCTTCCTGTGTATGTTCTCCTATGGAACTGTTGAGTGCATACTCCCAGGCATCATCAACATTCCTATTTTCCCTGCCCTACTGTATTCCAGCAAGAAACTTAGAAGGTATTTAGCTGGATGGTTTAAGCAAGCATGTAAAGAAGTCCTCCATACAGATACCCAAAAGTATCTTCCACTGAGCAGATCAATGCCTGTTCGGTCAATGTTTGATGAAAAGAAATGTCTCTTGCACGGGGTGTGTGGCCCCAGAGAACTATGGAAATGAGCAATGGGTGGATACATTGCAAAATAGAGGGAAGCAGGGCCCAGTTCTCTTCCTCAAAGTGAAGTTGTGTGGGAAGCAGCAGAAGGGAAGGGAAGTAAGGACTCCTGCTTCCATGGGCTTGACCCTGGAAGCATTTATTCGAGTGTTGCCATCCAAGCCAGACACCTCCCAGGTCCTCACACATGCACCCTGGGCCTTGTTTCGACTCACCTGGGCCTGGACATAATCATACTTCACAGGGTGTTCAGCCATGAACCTCCGGAATTCATTACGAGTTTGCTTAGTGGCAGAGACACAGTATGGAGGCTGTTCTTGTCTGTCCCTGCGCAGGAAATGCACATTGTTGCTTTCTGCATCCAGGCCTACAACCGTCACCACCACAGCAGGTAACTGCTGAGAAAAGAAGTGGTGTGTAGCACATCACTTCCAGAAACAGGACAAGACCATCCCAGGCTAGAGCAAATTTAATTTGTCCCAGGAAGTGGAATCACCCATGGCTGCTACTTAGAGAGCCTTCCTTGTTCCCATGGATATTTAGCAAAGTAATATTCAAGTGCTCTGAGACTCTCTGCAAGCCATCAATGCCTCTACTGGGCCTGGACTGAGCTAGGAGCAGCATCCAGAAGCTGCTTACTGCTCAAACTGCAAGTTAGAAGTGCTGAATCCGTGCAGAGAGCAAACGAGACTCGAGAACAATGTTTTGGGACACCAAAGCAGAAAACTCAGGCCTCCACTCATCCCTCTCTTGCTGGGCGTTACCTGAGAGCAGGGTCAGCCCCAGTCTCCAGCAACAGCCTCACAACTGCACTTCTTCCTGCTGCCGCCGCCACATGCAAAAGGGTCCAGCCACTCTCATCCAGGGGCATGTTGAGCAACTCGTGTGAGGCCAAAGCATTGCACTCAACTCCCTCATCCGCTGTGCTATCAGCCACCCCCAGAAGATGCTGGAGTGTCGTCATGTCTCCTATCTTGCAGGCTGTGAACAAGGCATCCTGCACTGGTATGTCGGGCCTGCCTGGAGGGAGAAGGAAGGTATTCATGTGTCATGGGAGACTATTGCCGACAAGGATAACTGGTGTCATGTAATGGAGTGTTGCACTGACACTAGTGAGACCTGGGTTGTGATTTCCTCTTGCCCTTGAACTTCACTGGGTGACACTGGGCCAGTGACTGACTCTCAGCCTAACCTCACAAGATAGTTGTGAGCATAAAAATGGGGAGGACAGGAATCATACATGCCACTTTGGGCTCCTTGGAGGAAAAGTGTAATATAAATGCAACAAACAGAGGAACACAAAATGTTCACATCCTGGCTGCCAACCTTGAATAAAGGCCAAAATGGTAAGTAACTGTAGGATGCCACCTGATGGAAAAGAGCCAGAGGTGCAAATAATGGCATAGCCATCTTGGGTGCCATAAGCTTTAGTGTGTGAGCATCCCGCCCCCCAGTGCACGCGCATGCACATGCGCACGCGCACACACACCCCTACCTTGAGGTTCCAGGTGCTTCTGGTCCTCGGTTGACTTCTCTTGTCTGGATAAGAAGGGCTTGGGCTCTTGAACAGCTGCCAAACTTTCCGAATGAGACTCTGTTTTAAAGTGGTAGAGCAGATGTTAGCCACTCATGTCAGCCTATCAGTGCCATCCAATCCCTTCCCATATTAGCTCTGTCCCAGTGGGACCCAGAAATGGCAGGATCACTCAGAGGAAGCATCAGGCAATGGCAGCTGCAGTTTCCTGAAAGCCGAGCTCTTTTCCATGGCTTTCTCAAAAAAAGCCACTGGCATGGCCAGTTGGCTGCCGCACGGGGAGAGGGAGGCTCCTTCTCCCCTACAGCAGCAGTGAAGCCCCCAGAAGCTCTCAGAGCACAGAGGTATTGAGATGTTGCCACTATCACAAACAGAGCAGGAGAATATGGTTGCTCTTCAGGAAAATCCCCCTAGTGTTGGAAGGGGGCAAGGCTGGTCTCTGCCCCTCAATAGCTCTGCTCCAGCTCCAAGGCTGCAGCAGCTTCTGCTTCTTAGCCATTAAGAGCTGTGTGCAATCCTGTCTAGAACAAAAAGGTGTGATAGCTGCAGAGAGGTTAACGTGTCAGCAGTGGTTTAAGATGGCCCCCACTTGTTCTGTAGAAGCAGCTGTGGAGCTCCAGAGCCATCCCAGGTGGTGCAAGCTCTCTAGTCTGCTGTCATTCTTCTTCAGTCACAATGGCAGGATGACACACCTCATCCCATGACAACACGATAACTGAATGAAATTCAGCCTACTTATCAAACTATGTTTTAAAACAGCAAGTTTCTAGTCCTCATGGGTAGAAGTAAGGAGCGGGGGAAGGCAAAGGCAAGTCTTCCTGAAACAAGGTGCTTGAGTTTCTAGTAGCAAGACTGAGATCGTTTTCTATAACTCTCTCCCCATGACAACTACCTCTCTTGTCTGTCAGGTAACCCACAAGTTCAATTCCATCATGTTTGTTCCATCTTCTACCATTACACATTTTATTCATTGGGCACATTACTGTTAATGCTGAATGGAGCTCTTGAGATTTTTTGTTTTTGACACTGCAAACAAAGGATCCTCATTACTGCACCAAGCCCACTATTTTCCCCTTAACTGAATGGGCTGACCTTGTTAGGAAGCAGCAGCCAAGAAGGAGAGAGAGCTGTGTTGCTTTGGACCATGTCTTCACAAGACAGGCAAATAATTAAAAAACAGACATTCCAGAAAGGAGTTGTGCCTACCTGCCTCTGCTTTTGCTTTTTTCCTTTTCTTTTTGCGATTCCGTTTTGGTGCCACCTCAAATTCACGCAATTCAAGTGTACTTAGTGTTGCCTCCACCAATTCCAGTTGTTTCAGACTTTCCTCCTCCCCTTCCTCCTCTTCCTCCGACCTTGCTGGGAAGACTTTAAAAGAGAAGAGGCATGGTTCAGTCTTTCCTTCTCATCACCAGATGGATCAAACAAGGACTATTGGATAGGGTACTGAAAAGGAGCAGATGTCCAATCAGCTTATCATCCCTCTCTCAGCTGGTCTACAGTCACTGCCATAATCTCCCCTGTAACCCCATCTTCTTCAACAAAGACACTCTGAACAAAATCCTCTGCATGTTGCTGTTTCTGGAAGCCCTTAATAATGGCCTTTCCATCTGATGACCGAAGGGGAGGGTGCAGGCAGGACCTATGCTGACTAGAAGGTCAGGACCAGCAGAGAAGACATGCCTGTGAATGCAATCGTTTCAAAGAAAAGGCTGTTCAACTCACCAGTGTCTTGAAGCTGTGAAGATGCTTCATTGCGATGAACCACTTTTTTCCAGCTCTTTCGAGGAGAACTGATCAGATCTGCCACTGCAGTGTCCCTTCCTGTCGAGAGAATTCTAATGCCATTTTCCCTGGCAGACGATCTTTCACTTACGCACCCTGAATTAAAAACCTCAGCGTGGCTTATAGGCAATACATTCCATTCCCAGCAGCACCCAAATGGCACCATTCCAGGTGGCCAATTTCCAATAGCCAAATTTCAGTAAGGGCAGAGTAGCAGCTACATTAAGCGGGTGTGGCTGGAACAGAGAGAGATCAGGAAGGAAGAACTACACAATGCCTTCAGAGGAGAGTTTCATTTATTTGAGCTGCAAGATAGATCCAGGATAAATTCATTCCTTTGACTAGCAAACCCACTTGAGCATTCTGGATAAAGAAAGTATCCTTCATTGCTAACAATCAAGAGATCGCCAATCTTTTTGGGCTGGTGAACACATTCGGAATTTTAAGGAAGTGTCATGGATGCTCATAAAATGGCTGTCACAGGAGCATGCCCATTTGTTAAAGGACTAACACAGTGGGTATGACTTGTGATAGAGCACTTGTTTTCCAGAAGGCACACCGGGGAGACTAAAACAATGTTACCCAAGGCACCCAACCCGCCCCCAAAAAAACCCCTCTTAGCTCCAAAGCACAAAACCACACTCCTGAAGCCAAATAAAAATGGTGCTAGAGAGTACTGCTTCACTTTGTAGTATGCAGCCTCCTAATTTTTTTTTAAATTTTGAGACATCTTAAGAAATAAAACAAAGAGCACAAGGGACAAGTTACCTGGCAGGCACCAAGAGAGCTGCCTATGATCACCGTAACAGAGACCCCAGTGCCAGGCTAACAGCACCACCACCAGCAGTAAATGGCTATGGGGGAAAAACCACACCCCACCAACACAGTTTGAAAGGTGTGCTCACCGTAAACTTGCAAGTTGCTCAGAGTCGCATGCACCCGCTGCACCTCCCGGAAAGTGGCTCTCCGAGTGCTGAAGGGAATGCCTCGGACACGGGGGTCATCACGCTGAAGAGGACCATTTTTGCTGCCAAAGAAACGAGCCCGATTGCTTCCAGGGGCACGAACAAAGATGCACTCCGCTTCTTGTAAATCTCCTGCCCAGCTGGCCAACAATTCCTGAATGTCCTGCAGGAAGGACAAGTATCAAAGGCTTATCTTTGTGCCCAAATTTCCATCTTGGTATATACTAGTGCAGAAGTAACACACTACAAAGAAAGCTGACTTGTGACCAAAATGCAAGCTCTGGTCAACTATTGCAACTGGTACCTTCACTCTACTACTCTATTCCCTGTTTTCCCATAAATGAAACAGTACAGAAAAGAGTTAAAATGCTCTGGAAGAACCCTCTTGTGTGGGATCTGCTGAAAGGCTCCTCCATACCACTAGAACTTTAGCAGACCATCTTCCTGATTCTCTATTTTGATCATTCTGCTCCATTATGTATGCTGCCAACACGATTCTGACTAGACACACATTGAATTTAACTGTATCTTTGTGAAGGCAAAGGAGCCTTGGCAACCTCACCCAGAAAACTGCAGAGCTGCAGAGTGGCCCCAAGACTCTCCAATAGCCCAGTCCTTCCCCCTTTGATTGCCCTGGAGGCCCTCCTCACCTTGAGCAAGGCAAACTCATTGTAGCGCCGCAGTGAAGCCCCAGCAGATTTTGGCATAGATCCTTGAACTTCCCTCACCCCCTGGGCTGTACCTCGGCGAGCTCGTACTGTGTACCGATGGAAAGTCTTATGTTTCAGTACCTCGTTCCTGAGAACAAAGGGGGAGTAAGCCTATAGCAGAAGATGGCACCCAGAATCATTAAGAATTATGTTTGGCCAAAATGGACTCTCATTTTATCTACACTTTGCATGTGGTCCAGCAGCTTACAGACATGGCACAAGGAAACATACACAAAGCACCGTCAGTTTCCCCCCACCCCGCCCAATGCAAGCTACCATGAGATAAAGCCCAGGGAATGAACATCAATCTAGGACTGGAATCAGGGCCTTTCCGACAGACCGACACTGTAAGCATGCTTCCACACTCCCATGAAAGCATCCTCACCCCTTAAAGATGGCTCCTGCAAAGTGTCCCCCACCAGCCATCAGGATAACCCACGATGTCTTGGGGCTCTGCTTCTGAAGCGATGTCACCAGGTCTGCAGATTCCTCCGTACTGCCCTGGAGATACACAAGCCCCCTTCAGTTAGCAAGGAGCCATGGGATTAAAGCAATGGGAGCATTTTCAGCCTGACTGTTAAACAAGGAAGAGTAAGGTATTACCTGTACCTGCAGAAGAAAGTGAAGTTCTGCGAATTTTGCAGATCCCAACCAGGGTCTAAGCAGTCAACATACAATTAAGAAATGCCACGAGAAGGCATCCCTGTAATGTTTACATAATATTTAGTGCCATAACCATAAACTCCAGGCCAGAACGGGCCTTTAAGCCATGAGCCATGCTGGGCAGGCTTGAATTCAGGAAGAAGGGGCCTCATATCTTGAGCTAGCCTGGCAGGAGAAGAATGAATGCTGGGATTCAAAGGGTATTTCTCCCCTTAAGGAGATTAGGCAAAACAACCCTGCAAGCAGGATGACCCATTGTCCTGAGACACCTGGAAATTACCTCATCCACAGCACCTAGCAAACACAGACAGGGAACTTACCTCTTACTCAGTGTAACAATAGTTAAGACCATCAGAAGCCATCAAGCCCCATTCCAACAACTGGCATAAGCTTGGGAAGCTCATCTTTCCCATAAGTCACATGTGCAGGAAAAATGGTATAAATGTCATTGTATCATTAGTGTTCGAAAGGACTCTCTATCCCTGCTCACTGCTGCAAGAGTTCTGGACACACTAGCTCTACTCCTGCAGGACAGGTAATGCCTATTGCCCTCCACCCTTTATTCTGATAATCTCTCTCTGTTAGGCAGGAAACTGTTTCTCCTTTTAAAAATAAGGAGTAAGATTGGGATGCAATAGGAATATTTTCTGTCTGACCACATGGGGCTAAAGCTTGTGCCTGCTCTATATTTTTTGAGGAATAAACTGTCCTTTTCCTAGGTGCTGTGTGTGTTTGTGTAGATGCAAAACCAGGGTTTGTTCTCCATGTGTGTGTTAAACCTCAGCAAAAGGTCATAAACCTTTTGAGGTAATCTGGAGAGCAAGTGCCTCCCTTTTGAGGTATACCAGATTACCTGGTATAACATCCCCAAAGGGTTGTTTCTTTCCACACAAGTTTTGAAAGCAGGAAAACTGCTTCCGTTCATCTGGCAGAAGCTCAGCAAACCCAGAAAGACAGGAATCAAGTCTGCAAAGCAGAACAAGTTGATGTGGCAGGAAAAAGTCAAAGGCAGTTGACTAGGGCAACTGTGCAGGACTAGAGAGGTAATCTGAGACTCAGGGTGCCTGGCAATTCAAATAGGAAGGAAGTTAGAAAAACTAATATAGTTGGGTTAACACAGTATTTGCTTGTACTGTAGCCAATTCTAGAATTGCTCCTTTGAAAATCAGCCATAACATAGCCTTCTGCTAGTTGTGAGGCAATTGCAAAACTTTCTGCTAGTTGTGAGGCAATTGCAAAACTTTTTGTGATGGGCAACTAGAAGAGGAAGAGACCGAAAGCTAGAAAAGAAATGAGACCCAGTGAGCCCTTTGCTCTAGCATTCTGCTTTGCCTTGCCTTCATAGTGTTCAGCACACAGCGATAAACTGAAATAAGCTGGCCTTGAGAATTTCTGAACAGAACCCGTTGAGAGCGTGGATGTGGTGAAGGACTCTGATGACTGCTTCCTTTGTCTTCACTGTTCTGGTAAGATGAGGATTCAGATTCACTGTCCAAGTCAGAGTTGCTGGAATCCGAGCCAGAGATACTGGAGACATCACCTGTGTACCAAGGCAGTGATAGGAAAATCCCATCTGCAGAATGTCACTTCCTACCCAGCCAGCCAGCCAGCCTCTAGGGTGCAGGGAAGAAGCACAGCTCCTGCACAAAGAGACTCTCCAGATTGATGAGCCTGGACAATTCCCCAGTGGGGCAGAAGAACATGTCTTGATCGAAAGAACCAAGCTTCACTAGACCTCTCTCACCAACAGTTTCTAGTGGTCGCTAGCATCAGGCAAGTGCAAAAATACTACAATTACTAGGGTAATTAATCATGAAATGAACCAGTGCCCCATGCAGGGTAACCTAATGTATAAGGGATGCAGCAGGGGTTCTGTAGTCTGGTACAGAATGACTCTGAAGCTGGGTGTGAGGAGTCTTTGGCTGAGCTAGGGTAGAATAGCAGTGTATTAAGACCACCAGAGCAGCAGAAACTTTGAGCAACAAGTCCTAACCATGAATTGTTCCTCACCTGCTTGAGTTTTCATCTCAAATTCTTCAGCTGTGAGCATCTGGTGGCCCAGAAGTCGCTGCTTTAGGTTGAAACGATGCCAATCTAGCTTATAATGCTCAGTCTTTACAGAAGAACAAACAAAGGGAAAGTCTATATCAGGAATAGTAATAAAGCCAATGGTGGTAACTGGTTCAATATCTGCAATATCTATCAAACTTCCCTCTCCCTCTGGGTACATTAAAGCTCCTCTCTGTAATGAGCCCGGAATGCCTACAGCTCAGGTCAAAGACACAAAGTTTCCAGTCCAAGATGAAAGACAATTTATCTCTTTATTTTGACAGCAGGTTCCACAACTCCCATAATACAGCATCCCACCTTTACATGATTCTTGGAACCCTACATCCCTGGTTTTCATCTGAGGGAATGAAATGAAAGAATTCTTGCACCATCCTGTTCACACAGAAAATACCTTCCACAGAACATCATTCAGTGATGCCCACCTGCTCCTCCCGACTCTCAAAGGGCTTTGAGCAGGTAGAGCAGTGCATCCGGTCAGACACCTCCAGGACAACACTAGCTTGATCTGGTCGCTTAGTCCCTGCACAGAACCAGAACAAAGGACACACAGAGGCATACACAGAACGTTATTACAAAATTAAGGGAGGAATATAAATCCATCTCTCACACGACTCACAAAAACAAATATATGAGCCACATAATGGCTGTGTTCACACAGAATGACCAGCCACGGCAGGAACTGCTAGCAAGATTCCTCGTGGAGAACCAACAGTTTGCCCTATGGCTACCATGCTTCACCATTGCTTCTCATGATGTGTGAATTCATTTACCATGATTTTCTGTAGTTTCTCTGTTTCTAACAGTGAGTCTGGTGGTAAGAGCAGCTGCAGCTGCCATTTTCCACTGCTCTGTTTAGCCTAGCAACTGCTGAGTTGCCAGCAGCAGGGCAGTGATAGGTTGTATAGAGACAGCCAGTCTTCCTTCCTGGCATGCACTCCCTGATGCCAGCCTTGCCGCTCTGCCTCATTACCTTGCTGAGATGGGACATGGGACATGGGACACCAGGTCATGTGGTAACTGTGTGGCTTGGTTTAGCACTGTGAACATATTCAATATCACACTCAGTAAGGAAAGGGTGAAAAAGCATAATAAAGAAAGCTTCTAAGTGAAAATAAGAACAGGAATTCAAAAAGAATGCTGTGTGCATTTTCTATACAATGAACCATTCAAAAGGTACTTGAACTGGAAGGATCTCAGGCAGAGTATAATGCAGAAACTTCCTCAGTGACAAAAGGAAACCAGATCTTACAGAAAGGTACAAAACTCATTTTAACTAGCTGGCATGCTAACATTGTTGAAGTTGCACAATGATGCTATGAAATGATATGGTAACACTTAGGACTATGACCCAGTTCAGACATCTATTTCCTGTTATGCTACATGAATGAGACACAGTATACTTTGAGCTAATGCACTACCTTCTCTCCCCCTCTCCGAAATGGATAAGAAGTTTTCACTTCTGTTTTTAAACCGCCCATAATTTTCTGTGACATCTCCACCTGGAGTTGTGTGCTTTGTTTAAACTATATTTAGTAATAACAAACCATGATACAAATCTCCAAAAATGGAAATTTGTGTTTGTTAGGTGGTAAAGAAGGGTAGACAAATCTCCAGTGTTCAAAAGTGAGGGGAATTATCCATTTGGACAATTACCTCATAAAGAATGCAGACATTCATCTGCAGCATTCAAAACTAGATGGTTTGATTAAAGGTAGGTTTGCTATCTCCAGTATACTTCCTGGAGAACATATTCATGTCTTCCAAGAGAGCCAAACTCGATAACCCCACCAGCTTCTTTTTAGCTAGACAATTTGAGAGTCACAAGTTCTTCAGCAGGCATTGGTCAGAACCCTTAGATATGTTGCCCTTATTAAGAGGCACCTGGAACTGTCATAGTGGTGACATCTCCTGTTGATTCCAGGACAAGGCAAAGTCCATCCATTAAAGCTGTATTCTGAGTGGCCTCGAACACAGAGCAGGTCTCAGTAGGCTGCATGATCTGAAAAACAGGAAAAGGTAAGAGATATTCAACAAGACTTATTTGCAGGGGAGAACATATACACACATCCTGTAGATGAGAGCACATTATTATTATTATTATTATCCAGCCATTATATCTCTAGATGGAATAGGTAGTTCTGAAGCTAGCACCAATAATCTCAATTTGTTTTAAATCATGTAATGTATTTTAAATCTTTGTACTTCTGCTAGGTTTTCCCCTAGTTTTTACTTTTATTTTATTCTGTATTTTTAACCATTTAAATATTTACATTGTATGTTATGGTTTAAAATTGTTTTAAATTGGTGTGAACTATGCAGAGAGCTTTAGTTATTGCACAGTATAATACATTTTTATACATAATAAACTTCCTCAACCTCCAAGGAGCAGGGATGAGGCACATCAAGGGTTACCACCCTCATATTGCCAGATTTCTATGTCCTTAGGCACATTTAATGAAGTTGTACAGGTGCACCTTTTCCTAGAGCTTCAAGCAATACAGAAATATGACAATGTGAAAAACAGTACTTGTTTGGGATATCAATTCTGAGAAGGTGGGAAGAAAGTGCAAAGAACTTTCCAGCCTTACAACATAAGCAAGGAGCCCCACCTATGTTAGCAAATTACATCGCCACAGCAACCTCTCTCTTCTTTTACTTTTTTTTTACATAGTTAACAGTAATTCTTAGGGAGTCATATACAAGCCAGAGGCTGGAGAAACAAAATCCATAGCAGAAAAAGTTGGCAACAAAGGGAAAAGCTAAAGAATTGCTCTGTTGAGCCTTTCACTGATGGATTGCACTGCATCACCACCATTTTTGTTGGGATTCTCTCCACCTCCCATCTTACAAAAAGAAAAAGATACTGCCCTTGGGGACTGGGGCATGATCTACGACCAATTATTCTGAGCAAGAAAGTATCAGTGTTTGTTTAGCTACTGCAGAGCTGGGCACAAGATTGCTTTGGATCTACTACTAGATTTCTGTGTGATCAGCAAGAATTTCCAATTCCCACTGGTTTAACAGCAGCAATAACTAAACAAGTTTTAGTTAGGTTGCTGAAAAAGAACACCCAGAGGAAAACTAGGAGAAGACGTATATGTGAAGGGACTTTAAGGCTGGGTGCCGCTACCGATTACAAACTCCGGGGCTTGGCATTTGTTCCGAGTCACCCTATTTCCTTAATTCTCAACGTTTGTGCACCCACCAGTGTAATGATTTCACACCTGGCTCTGAGGGATGGACCGGTTTTAGCAACAAAAAAGGAGATCCCACAAACCTAAACCTACGCACCTCTTAAGTTGCTAAAGGAATTATGTGCCAGCAATGCTGACGGGTAATAGATCCGATTTATTAATCCTCCAAGCGAAATAAACCCACCTAACTCGGGAGGTGCTTACCGCTCCCAGAACAGGAAAGCACACGCGACAGACCAGACACTTCACCAGGAAGTTGTAACACTGGACTCCGTCACTTCCGCCCATAGAGGTTTCCTTGTGAAAAGATCGACCTTCCCATCCCACATCCGCAACCCCAGCGCAGCTTCCCCATTGGTTGGCTCTGATCCCACCTTCCTTCTCCGTCTTGACCTCTGATTGGGAGCGGAAGGAACCAACCGGGGAGTGAGGGGGGGGGAGTGAGTGACAGTCCTGGAAGTCGCCGCGGCTGAGGCTGAACCTCGGGTCCGGTTACCAGGAGCGACCGTAGAGGTGAGTCGCGCCGCGTTCAGGAAAAAGGGCAGCACGAAGGAGTACGTGGAGGAGACTTCCCAGCCCACACGCTGCCGCGGTTCGCTCGGCCTCCCGTCTTCTTCCTCTTCCCAAGTAAACAACCCCCAGGAAGGCCCCTCCCTCTTCCCCAGGCTCGGCTGAGCCAAAACAAAACCGCCTCGGAATTGCTGCCGGAGTTCACCAAGGGCCACCTCTGTGCTGGGCAACCCGGCCTCCTTTCCAGTGGAGGAGGGATCCGGCGGGAGTCGCGCCCCGCTCCTCGGCCACGCTCGGGCCGTCCTCGGGGGCGAGAGCATTCCAAGAGCGCACCGCAAAGGCAGTGGCGGCGTGAGGGTGGGGGGATGGCTCGCTTGGCCGCCTGGAGCCGAGCAGGCCTTCTGCCTCTCCTTCCACTCCTCTTCTGACTCGCGGGCGTCAGCGGAGCGGAGTTAACCCCATCCCCTCATCTCATTGCTTGAGGACGCCTTCACCTGTCACTGGGTGTTACATAAACTTCCTAGTACCCTCCTGGCACCCACACCCTCACCTCCTTGTCGAAATTGGCAATGTAGGTGCTGCCTTGTACTTTCAGAGGTTCCCCTAGAAGTGAGAGGAGCACGACGGAGGTGTGAGACTAGAGGCATCACCATGGCTCTTGCATGTCCAGAGCACCACATGAGACTGGTGTTCCCACAGCACTAGAGGTAGATGGAGCAGGTGAGCATCTCTCTATCTCTCTCCTTTGCTTCTTTTGGGAGGGACTGATTTTGTCATACTTCAGGAATTGTGGCTGCTCTTTGTCCTGAATGGTAGTAACAGCACACCAGTTAAGCTGGGTGTGCCCCTTCTGTAGCTGTGGGCACTGCCTCTGTACAAGTCAAACTATGGAGCTTATTTTACAAAACAAGAAATTCCAAATCATGGGTGTGGTTGCTATTATTTGCAAAACTGGCCCGTATACAGACATGCACAGAATGAAAGTGTCATACAGTATTTCAGGGATTCTTCTATAAAGGATAAGGCATTTGTTCTAATCAAACAGCTGCTCTGTTTTTATGTTGGATTAATGGACCACAATTGTCTTCAGATTAATGGGCTCCTTGATTAATGGGCCACAGTTGTCATCATCATGTAGTTTTCCAGAAGTGCAAAGTGCAAGTCAATCCTGTTTTTCTTCCACACACACACACACACACACAAAAGGCAGGTTGTGTACCTGTGCATTTCTTACCTGTGGATTTTCTCATTGCCCAAGGTATGCCATGTATTGCAGAATTAACATCCTGAGATGTTTGCATTGCATTTGTATTCCACTTGCATGGAACCCAAGTTGGTTTACATGGTTCTCTTTCTGTTTACTTGTTTCTTTTTCTGTTTCTCTTTCTCTTTACTTGGTTCTCTTTCTGTTCATTTTTCATTGTTGTTGTCACAATAACAACCCTGTGAGGTACCTTAAGCTGAGAGTCAGTGACTGGCTGAAAGTCATCCTGTGACACAGCTTCATGACTGAGTGAGGGCTAGAACCCAGATCTGAGTCCCAGTCCAGTACTGTTAACCACTCTACCATAATGCCTCTTGAATCACATTTGCTTCCAAATGGAGAGCTCCTAGCGCTAACAGTTGAAGGACACTGTGCAACTATTTGATCATTTTCACCCTAAAAGATTTTCTGAAGTAAGATTAAAGGTGAAAGAAGCATTGGGGGAATATAGGAGTGTTACAGATGGAAAAGGTCAGGTGCTTCCAGATAGAAGGTTCCTATAGCTAACAGTCAGAAGGTAATTCCCTCTTAGTTTTTCTAAAAAGGATTTTCCATGATAGAAAGACAATTGAAGTGGTAGGAAGATGGCAAGGTTTGGATTCCCCCTCCATAAGGTTCCATGGATGAGGCAGGATGATTGTAGTTTTCCTTCAAGGAATTCAAGGCAGTATACCTGATCTTCTCAGTCTTATCCTCACAACAAACCTATGTAGTAGACTGAGCATCAGTGCATGACTTTCTCTTATAAATATGACTAAAAAGAAACATTGTTATTTTCCCCAAAGTCTTCTAAACTGACTGATGAGATAAATTGAGAGCCATTACAGTGTAGCAGTTACAGGATTGCACTGGGATCCAGGAGATCCAGGTTCTAGTTCCCACTCAGCCACCAAGTTCAGGCTTCTTGTGAGAATAAGATCAGGAGGAGGAGGAGGAGGAGGTTTATGCAAACCACCTTGAGTTCCTTGAGGGGGAAAAAGGTGGGATTCAAATAAATAACGTAGTTGTTCTTCACACTGACTTTTCTTTCCTCAGAGCCTGTGTGACGCTGGATGATGCCCATCTTGGTGACAACATGGCTCACTTTGATACAGAGTATCAGCGACTGGAGGCCTCATACAATGACTCTCCCCCTGGAGAAGAGGACCTGATGGTTCATGTCCCTGAGGGCAGCAAATGTGAGTACAGCTGACAGGCATCCCATAAAACAGTGGTGATGATGCTTGTGCTTGGAAAAATGCTAGTCTAAACGGAAAGCAGGAATGTGGATCTCCGGCCTACATTCCTGGACAAACTGTATTCCCTGTGCAGCCAGAGCCTAAGCAGGTTTTCTCAGAAATCTCATTGAATTCACTGGGGATTAGTTTCTGGTAAATATATTTAAGAGTCTGACTTCAACTTGTGTTGCTATAGGTGTGGGGATGAGTGGGGCAGTTCAGATGTAAGAGATCAAGGAGTCTATACATCTCGATGGAGTGCAGATCCTCTAACTGAGGGTGATATTTGCAGCTTCTAACATGAGACAATCTCTGTAATGGCACCTGTTTTGCTTCCTGTCCTGAGAAACCTGCTATGTTGAAATTACTGCGTTTTGTCTTGTCTCTGTCTTCTAGCTCCCTGGCATCACATTGAGAATTTGGATCTCTTTTTCTCTCGCATATCCTTTCTTACCTAATAGAAGGGCAGGGATTATTGTGTCCTTGCTGTGGGCTTTGAGTGGGAGGCAGTTCAGTTACAGCAGAGGTAGAAATTCCTTACAAAGTTCTTTTTGGTCTGAGGACTCCTGTATGGAGCCCACTCTAGACATTTGGACCTATTTAGCAGAAGAAGCTACCTGAGCGGACTGTTGGGACAACCTTTCTTTCATCTTCCCCGGGTCTACTAAAGACCTGTACTCTGACAGAAGGCAAAAGAGGAAAAGTCCAGGCTGAGGAGCTTGTGCTATCAGCTGTGACAGGGAATGTCAGCTGACTTGAAAGACTTATACTCTGTTTTTCTTTCCAAGTGTAGGTAACATTTCTTTGCATGTTTCAGTACTTAAACATTGTAACCTGTCTTGGGTATCTTGGTAGAAAGGCAGTATAGAAATTTATTGAATAAGTGAGAAATAATCAATGGAATATAATTTTAGGTATGTTAATAGATAATCCTTTTGATATATATTCAGGAACAAATAAAAGCATAGAAACATCATCTGAAACACATCTACGATTTGCAGAAAAATGGTAACAAAAAGAATGTAGAGAGATTTGTGCTGCTACCTTTCAGGGAAATTCTTTACGACAAAAAAGTTACTTCTTTTAGCTGCGTTCTGCTGTTCACGGCTTGTAGTGTGGCAGATTGAACTGGCAGAGGAAATGCCTCCTGTGAATTGGAGGAGGTTAGTCTCCAATGAAGCTGGGGGTGGATTCTGCAGCTAATAGTCAATACAGTTCTCCTTGACCATGACCTTCACGTCTATAACTTGCACCAGAAGAATGGATTCACTTGCATGCTTATCAGCGAGATCTTTGAGTTAATGTGAGTATATACCCCCTTCCTCTTACCAGTAGCTAAGACATGTAAGTGGGCATTTGCTGTTGTCAGGAGGACCTGTCAGGCAGAATAGGAGGGAATTGTTGATTCATGCTAGAAAATGAATCAACTTTTCCCTATCAACCTTTCCCGTGGCCTTTCCCTATCCCCAATTCCCTGCCATGTAGGTAGAAAGGACAATGAATTCTGTTCTTAATTTCTTACTCTTTACCCACATGCAGAATGTGTTTAGTACGAAGGACCCTGACTGCCTGGACCTCCTGCTGCCCTAGATAGGGCTCCTGGTCCACATGGCCTCCTGATGTGTGTTCCCTTTTCTCATAGGCAGTTCATCTTTGTTGTGGCCTTCACCACATTTCTTGTCAGCTGTGTTGACTATGACATACTTTTTGCCAACAAGCTGGTGAATCATAGCCAGCATTCCAGTGATCCAGTCAAGGTGACTCTGCCTGATGCCTTCCTGCCTCCCAACGAGTGCAGTGCCAGGTAAAGTTGACAATAGCCGTCCCTGATTAATCAGGATGAGAATTAGGAATGAACAGTGGGGTTGCCAGGTTTGCTGATGACAAGTCATTTAGAATGGTTAAAACACAGAGATTGCTGAGATTTCCAAAAGGGCATCTGTAAACTGGGAGAATGGGCAATAAAATGGCAAATGCACTTCAGTGTAAGCAAGTATAAAGTAAGCAAGTACTGGGGGAGGAAGATCCCAGCTTCACTGACCTGAGCTGGCAGTGACTGAACAAGAAAGGAATCTTGAGATTGTGGTAGACAGCTTGATGACGATGTTAACCCAGTCAGGGTGTATTCACTATGAAAAAGGCAAATTCCATGTTGGGAATTATTCAGATAGGTGACAAAGGTGAAACCGCCAGCATTGTAATGCAAATCTATAATGCAACCACACTTGGCAACTGCACTTTGTTGTGAGCCACCCCGAAGTTTCCTAAATAAATAAATTGGCATACTTCACACAGTTTTGGTCACTGCATCTAAAAAAAGGTTATTGTAGAGTTGAAATAAAGAGGTAAATAAAATGATCTAGGGGTTGGAACAACTCTGAAAAATGATTCCAATATCTGGGATTATTTTATCTTAGAAAAAATAACAGAAGATATGATAGAGGTGTGCAAAGTTATGCATGAGGTGGAGAAACTGTATAGAGAGATATTTGACTCCCTTTCTCATGATACTAAAATCCAGTTGGAGTCAACCCATGGAGCTGATTGGTGGGAGATTGCAGAAACATACAAGAAAGTACTTTTTCATACTGCATATAATTAAATTATGAATGTGCTACCTCAAGAAATAGTGATTGCCACCAACTTAGATGTCTCTAAAGATGGATTAGACAGAATCATGGAGGATTAAGTTATCAATACCTGCTAAAGATGATCTGCAGTATCACAAGCAACATGCCTCTGCATACCAGTTACTGGAAAATATGAGTGGGAAGCTGCTGTTGCACTCATGAAGCTTGTACTTGTGGGTTTCCCATTGCAGCTGGTTGGCTACAATGTGAAGCAAATTCTGAACTAAATAAAGTTTGGTCACATCCAATGTGGCTGTTCTATTGTTCACTGTATGGTAGGAAAAGTGCACTCAGTGATAGTTCTTGTAAAACTGGTCAGCCCATTTCAGTCTTTAGTTGGTTGTCCACCTTCTGGAAAACAGAAATTTCAAGAAACCCTTGTGAAAGAAAACATTGTATTCATTTCCATCTACTGCCCCTTATTGCCTTCTCTCATTCTTACTAACCCAGTTGCATTGATGTTCTAAGCCCCTTAGTACAGTGTAATGCTGTATCTCAGTGCTTCATGGCTTCATGCCTACCCAGAATAGTATAAATTCTAGTGGTGGAAGAAGGAGAGGGTCATATTTACAAAGCTGTAGTAGCACCTGCTTAGCTGTAAATCCATCTACCCAATAGGATCCAGGCTAATGGCTTTCTCCTCTCCATCCTGGTGATTGCGGGAGTTTTCTGGATCCATCGATTGATTAAGTTCATCTACAACATTTGCTGCTATTGGGAAATACACTCTTTCTATATCAACGCACTCAAGATTCCTATGGTAAGCTGCTGGGCTGCAGAGACCATGGATATACATGCACGCATCCATGTTTATGCATATAAAAAAAGATGTGGACACCTAAGTGGAACTTCATGGTTGGAGCCTGTTCATATTTCTGGTTATAGAGTGGCTTAAGGCTAGCAGAGCTTCGTCCTTTTTGCGTGTTTCTCAGGAGCCTGTGGCTGTTTTCTGTTCAAGGCTAAGAGTACTTTTGGGTTGCTCCAGCAAGACAGTTCAGTTTATCATGTTAATGCTGATCAGCTAGGCTGGCTTTGTAGTGCAGAGGAAGAGTATGACAGAAACCAGTAACAACAATTAGAATACTGGCCAGTTAGAGAATAGTGGCTTAAAGATAAGAAGTTGATTTGAAACTGAATCTCTCTCCTCTCTTCCTAACTGAAAAGACAAGCACATCTACTTAAGCATCAGATGCTCCCAACAATTGGCCCTTATCAAGTGGTCCGTTCTCTTACACAGATGCCACATTCTCAGTTGGGTTGAAGAGTAATGTTGAGTGTGCCTGCCCTCTTCCATTCCAGCTTGCTTACTAAATTTTCTCACAGAGTCTGAAATGGTTTGATTCTCAGTCACTGCCTGGCTTATCCCTGGGTCCACTGGCCTTGGCATTTTAGCTCTAAATTCTGGCTCCTCCTCCTCTGAATCAAAATCTGATTCCACAACTTTTGAAAGCTTTGTTACAAGAGAAGTGGGCCAGTCCCTACGAGCTCACAGTAAACAGACTGTTATTCCATTGAGAATGTCGTGCTACTAACTGCACTGTTTACTCGCTCTTCCCGTAGTCCAATTTACCCTACTACACATGGCAGGAGGTGCAGGCCCGGATTGTGCAAATCCAGAAAGAGCACCAAATCTGCATCCACAAGAAAGAGCTGACAGAGCTGGACATCTACCACCGCATCTTGCGTTTCAAGAACTACATGGTGGCTATGGTGAACAAGTCACTACTGCCTGTGCGCTTCCATCTGCCCTTGCTGGGTGACACAGTTTTCTATACACGTGGCCTCAAGTACAACTTTGAGCTTATTTTCTTCTGGGGCCCTGGCTCTCTCTTTGAGAATGAGTGGAGCCTCAAAACTGAATACAAGCGAGGCAGCAACCGCCTGGAGCTAGCTGAGAAACTGGGCACTCGCATCCTGTGGATTGGCATTGCCAACTTCCTCCTGTGTCCATTGATCCTCATCTGGCAAATCCTCTATGCTTTCTTCAGCTACACAGAGATCCTCAAACGAGAGCCAGGCAGCCTGGGTGCCCGTTGCTGGTCTCTCTACGGTCGCTGCTACCTGCGCCACTTCAACGAGCTGGATCACGAGTTGCACTCGCGCCTCAGCAAGGGCTACAAGCCAGCCTCCAAGTACATGAACTGTTTCATTTCGCCCCTCTTCACTATCGTGGCAAAGAATGTGGCCTTCTTTGCCGGCTCTATCCTTGCCGTCCTCATTGCCCTCACTATTTATGACGAAGATGTGCTTGCTGTGGAGCATGTCCTCACTACTGTCACCATTCTGGGTGTGGCAGTCACTGTCTGCAGGTGAGTGAGACCAACTTGAGAGGGAGTCTTCATGCTTTAGGAAGCGAGTGCTTTTTGATTTGTGCGTTTGGTTTTGAAGACACCAGCAGAGCAGTGATGGTGGTTTCGACTGTGAGAAGCAGCCAACCAGGCAATTGGCAGGTGAAAGCTAAAAGTATGCTGCTGATCAAAAGCACATTCATTGGCAAATGCTCTTATGCGCGATCCTTTAGTTAAAGCGGTAGGTACAACGCAACTGACCTGTTCTAGCCCTTGAAGAATGATTGCTAGGACTCCTCAAGAGGCTTTTAGGGTCCATGGAGGTACTGAGGTAGGCACTGTTTCAAGGGGCTTGGACCATCCACAAGCTTGCTTAAGAGAACTGGAATGGAGAAATGAGTTGGAAGTCTAAGTAAAACTTGATACATGAGAAATGGCACATGAACAGGATACCTGGGGATAATGTAATAGAGTGCTGGCCAGTAAAACATCTGCTTTCCCAGAGCTTGCTGTGCTGTGTAAGGATCTGTATTTAAAATTGCACAGACATTTTAGATGCTATATTATTAAACTGATCTGTCACTGACATGACTTTAGATTAGTCTTCCCCACCTTGGCACACTCCAGATGAGTTGAACTATAACACCCACCATTTTAACCCACATGGCCATTGACTGTGGATGATGGGAAGAGTAGGCCAACACATCTGGAGACTGACAGATGGGAAAAGGCTGTTTGTATTGACATTAGCTACTGCTGACTTCATATCAGTGAAAACCAACAGTTTGATAGGAATCTAACCTGAATCCAGACACTAGGAATTTGGCTGCTTAATCAGCTTGTGACAAATTGTGGCAAAATTGCTTTAGGTGAAGAGGCTTTATCCATTTTCTCCCTTTTATCACAAAGGTGTGTAATCCAAAAGCTGACCTGTTCACTCTGAACAAGAAAATAAGTTGGAACAAAAATAAATGAAATTTATTTCATTATAATTTATTTAAATCAATTGCACTGGTTAAAGGCAACAGTGCTAAATCTGAGCTGCTAAGAGTGTCTCTCCAGAGCCTTGCAAGTGTATCCATCCTTTTGTAAAGAGGAAAATTTAGGACTGTAAGCTGGACAGCCTGAGGACCTGGACCATGAAACATGCAAGCTCATCTGACCAGCCATTTTTTAATCTGCTTGGAGTTATCAAATGGTATAGATCTAGTTGATGCATCTTTGTGTCCCATCTGTCCCCCAGATCTTTCATCCCGGACCAGCACCTGGTATTCTGCCCAGAGCAGCTGCTTCGGGTGATTCTGGCACATATCCACTACATGCCTGATCACTGGCAGGGCAATGCCCACCGCTATGAGACCCGAGATGAATTCGCCCAGCTCTTCCAGTACAAGGCGGTGAGGAGGAGGGAGCAGGGAAGGAGTGGGAAGTGTCGGGGGAGCTTGCCTCGTTTAGGTTCCTTGTACATCTTGTCTTCAAGTGTCCCCCCAAAACTGAGGAAGCTCTTCTGATGGCAGGGCGCATGGGACAAAAGCCATACCTGGAGCCTGTCCTTGAGGCTGTGGTGTGGAACAAGTGATTCCCCACTGTGGTGGTTCCTTGAATTTAGTACCTTTGTCTTCCTTATTCAAGGTCTTCATTCTGGAAGAGCTGCTCAGCCCTATTGTGACTCCCTTAATCCTCATCTTCTGTCTGAGGCCCAAAGCCCTGGAGATCATTGACTTCTTTCGTAACTTCACAGTGGAGGTGGTAGGTGTGGGAGACACCTGCTCTTTTGCCCAGATGGATGTGCGCCAGCATGGACACCCTGCGGTAGGTCCCAGCAAAATTGGGAACTTTGGAGTGAATTGCATACAAACTTCTTGGGTAGGATATAAAGTTTTCTCTTCTGCAGTTGGATGAAATCATGTTAGGCAGTGGCTTCAGTATCTCAAGTCACATGGCACAAACTTTTATGCTCACACGATAACATTTGATTTACATGAGGTGGTGAATGTATAATTGCTTTCAGAGCTTAAGCTTAGGTTTTCAGGGTGGGTGATGTCATTTCCTCCTTTAAAAAAATGAGGCCAGTGTTCTACACAGTTAGTACACTTGCGAAATTTCCTTTAACACTGTGTTCTCTCAAAAAAGTACTGATTCCTTTCAGAAGGTATTTGGTTGATGCCATGAAAAGTAGTGGTTCAAAGGGGGACTGTATTAGTTTTGCTTAATATATGTAAGAATCAGTTGAAAAGCATTACTTTACTTGCCTTCTTGGTCTCAAGGCCATGGTTAATAGTTTATTAGGGTTTGAACAGGGTTTTGTGCCCAATCTCTGCTTTTGACCAGAGAGCAAGACCTACAGGCAACCCTGTTTTCATGCAACAAAATACTCGTGAGGGTCTGCCCTGCATGTAGATCACTTACTGCAAGATTGTGAGAGTCAAACAGTTCATGGTGGTCTCTGTATCCTGAAGGTGTCATGCAGCTTGTACGGTATTTGTAGCCTTTGTTTAGTTTGACTTTTACAGTTGGTTTTGGCAGATGTAGATGGTTGGATGTATCTGGTGGAGGCAGTGATGTGGTTTAGACTCCTCTGCAACTTTCTTCCCTGTGTGTTTTGCAGTGGATGTCGGCTGGGAAGACAGAAGCTTCCATTTACCAGCAGGCTGAGGATGGCAAGACAGAACTGTCCCTCATGCACTTCGCCATCACCAACCCACACTGGCAGCCGCCTCGGGAAAGCACAGCCTTCATTGGCTTGCTCAAGGAACGTGTGCACCGGGACAGCAGCCTGGCCCTGGCCCAGCAGGCTGTCCTCCCTGATAATGCACTCTTTACCTCCATCCAGTCCCTTCAGTCAGAATCTGAGGTACCTGTCCTGAAGATGGAGGGAATGCGTGGGTGGTAAAGCAGGCTGTAATCCTGACTTATGAGAGATTGAAGCAGGATGCTGAGCTGGTTTTGTGGGATATGCCCATTTTCTTGAGTGCTCTGCCCAGAGACAGGAGAGGACTCTCCTGTCTCTACATGGGCCTCAAGGTCAGGGGAGTCACTTGGGCGCCAGGGTTGGGGAACAGCATGTCCCATAGTGACCTAGTAGGACCCCTCTTCTTTTTAACACAAGCACACTACTTCTGCCACCTTTTATTTCCTCTGCAAAGCCTAGTTATATTTGGCTAAGGTTGGTGTCCTCAGGCTATCCAACTTATTCATTGTTTTACACTTATCTATTTCCAAATTCCTTTCCTGTTCCTTTCCTTGTAGTGATTAACAAACCCATTCTCACTGAATAGCTTATCTACCTTTTGTCTTTGCAAATGATTTGCCAAACAACTGTAGCATCTCCTCTTCCAGTAGTTACAACTGAGAAGCATTAGCACTGCTGAGGTTTGAGGTGGGTGGGCTAGTTTCCCAAAGGTGGAAGTAAAATATACCCATCCTAGGGTAGAGCTGAGGATGGATTGTGGTGGTAGAATATCACACCTTGAAATAGGCAGGACTTCTCTGTTCTGCCTAAGTTATGCTTTCTCCTCTGTTCTCTCTCTGCAGCCACACAGTCTGATTGCCAATGTGATCGCAGGCTCCTCAGCACTGGGCTACCAGGCAGCCCGTGATGTGCAGGCATCATGGCAACTCTCCGCTGTATCTGAGATGGCATCTGTCCTGCGTTCTTTCTCCCCTCTCCAGTCTGCTCAGACTGCCCATGGGAGTTCTCATGCTGATGGTTCCCAGCTTCGGGGCCCTGGCACAATGGCAGGCTCAGGGTAAGAAGCTGCACTTGGTAAGGATCTAGAGAAAAAGGCATTGTGCCAGCACTTTACCTAGAAGGCATTGGTATAGTTGTCTTTAAGGACAGTCTTGCAAATGACACTTTTCCCAGCAAAAGTATGTAAGAGTGCTAGAGGATGGCCAATTGTTCTCTTAGATGTTCCTTAATTTTTTTGTGAGTTTTGTCTGCATCCCTTTGTTCTCCACTGGGTGCTGAGTGCCTATGATTTCCTTCCATTTGGAACAGAAGTTATGAGGAATAACAGAAAATTATCCAGTTGCACAAAAGACTGTTAACCATGTTTTTAAAGTCCTATCCTGTAGATGGTCTGCATACATGATCTGTGGGACAGCCTTCTCCAATCTGGAAAGAGCCCTTAAGATGCTTTGGACTGCATCTCCCCCCATACCTGACCATTGGCCATGCTGGGTGGAGCTGATGGGTGTTGTAATCCCAAGTGCCAGCAGGCACTAGGTTGGGGAAGACTAATCTGTGGCTATTGTGATGTTGTAGAAGTGCTACAGCTGATGTTGTCTTGTTTAAGTTTGGGCTAATGAGAAGCTGCTATATTCCGGATTTATTAGGGCATGGGGTGCTTGGAAAGTGTCATTCTGTACACTATAGAATCCTTCTGCACACCACATCCTGAGTCCCCTTTCTCTGTTCTGGCTGCAGGGCTGATGCAAGAACAGCTAGTTCCGGCAGCAGTGCCTGGGAGGGTCAGCTCCAGAGCCTGATCCTTTCGGAATATGCCTCTACTGAGATGAGTCTGCATGCACTCTACATGCATGAGGTGAGCTGAGCCAAAAGGAGTATGCAGATCTTGGCACTGGGCCAAAGAGATACAAGAGCCTGAACAGCCCTGCCAGAGGGGAACATAAAGGCCTGTGCACTGTGATGCACACAGCATCATCTCAGGATCAAGCCAGAAGCAATAGTCCCGCTCACTGGGTCATGACATATGAGAAGCCATATGTTCCTAGACATCACGTATCAGTAACTCAGCCCTTGGCGAGTCAGAGGAAGCCCCACTTTAGCTGGGTGGTAGAGAAATGGCTATTGTTTGTTTGTTTGTTTCTTTGTTTAAAACTTTTCTATGCTGTCTTCCATCAAATAGTCTCAGGAGAGTCATACAATAAAACAAAGTAAAGTAAAGCATCAGTTCTGTATGATAAAATCCCAATTAAAATCACAATCTAAACCGTAAAATACTGGGAAAAGATAAAGGTTTTGGCCTGGCTCTGAAAAGAAGAAACAGACACTGTTCTGGTGTTGACAATGAACTTGATTGGGATCGCTGGCAAGATCCTTTCCCAACCTGCCCCCACTGATCCCAGTACAGCTGACACATCACTTTTTCCTTGCTTTTAATAGTGTGGAAACAGCAATCTGGATTAGAAAAAGTGAGATGCTCTGAATACTCCCTCTAGTGATCTCATCCCCTTAGTTCAGTCTGTAGGAGAGGGATAACTAGATCTGGGCACTGAGGTCTGGGTGGATATGCGGAAGAGTGTGTGCAACACCACCAGACTCAACATAAAATTCTCCAAAATCTCTTTCATCACATGCTGAAGTTTGAACTACTTAGACTTGTGTTTCAGGGAAGATAGAACTGCATCTTGCATGGATGCAGGGGGGGAACCTATGTAAGGCCACTTGAGGAGCAGAAATGTGTGCATTTTGGTTGTATCAGATCCTAAACTGAAATTACTTGGGATGCATCAAGTAACTTGATGTTGAGTGTGGTCCTGAGCTGTCTGTTAACTTCCCCACCCCGCATTATTCACACAGTTGCACAAGCAGCATGCCCAGCTGGACCTTGAGCGGCACCTATGGCACCGGCGGGAGAGTGATGAGAGTGGAGAGAGTGTACCAGAGGAGCCAGATGGACAACATGGCACTTCCGGGGGTGCCATTCCTCGCTCAGCTAGCTATCCTCTTGCCTCACCTCGCCAGGCTGGAGATGAGACAGCTGCTCTACAAGCAGGCTTCCAGCGCCGATACGGTGGTGTCTCAGGTACAGTTAATGACAGTTAATAATCTATTTGCATTCCTTGGCTGAAAAAGGCCTTGTTCCCTGTCCAACATCATCCATACGTGTTTTATTAGTTCAGGATTTCTCCAGGCATGGATTACACTGAGCTTGAAATACAGCTCTGCAGTTTGGTAGATCTTTTTGCCCAATTAGATGGCCAGGGCATCATATAGAAAAGGCAAGCCCTGCCCTGAACTATCTATACCCAGGGGCTGCCCCTTTCTTAGTGTCTCTGCCTTCACTCATTGTTGCCCAGCAGTAGTGAAAGTAAGTGGGTATGGTCAATTAGGAAACGCCAGCCTAAGGATTAGTACTAATAGGAGGGTACAAATAGTCCCCAGGTTAAGAACAAGTTCCGTTTCTGAGAACATCCTAAAGTTAAATTCATATGTAAGTTGGATCACATAAGTAGGCCAAATGTTTATCTTAGTATATGTATATATTTTACTTTTCTAAGCATATAAAACACTTAAACATTTCCATATTCACTAAAATATCTTAAACACAGTAGAATCTGTGTGTATGTGTAAAATACGGTATTGTAAAACAACAACAACAAAAAACCAGTTCTTAAAACAGTTTAGAACATTCTTGAGGTAACATTAAGCCTAACATTAATGGACCTGGTGCTGAAGAGTCAGGGTTTGATTGTGCTGCTGGAGAGGGTGGGGATTACCACTGGAGTCTAGGGTCCAGAATCTGCAGAACAAAAAGCCACAAACAGTGTATCTCTTGGGAACTACACAGCCACTGAGAGATACATCACCAAATGTGTTGCGTAGTTCCCTAGAGATAGTCATGACTGCCTCTAGCAAAAAGCCATGACTAACTCTAGGGAACTATGCAACTGCTGATGAGGTGTTGCCAAACAGTGTGTAGTTCCCTAGATATAGTCATAGCTTTTTCTAGAGATATTCATATATGGCAGTCAACATGTTCAAGTATGGGTTCATCATAACCTAGGGACTGCCTCTACTGTCATAAGCTCAAAAAGTTCCTATACTGCTGCTATTGAACAAGGCAGCCTTTTGTCTTGGTTTTGGGCTCCATTTTCTCTTGCTGTGAAGTTACAATTCTTTCTTCAAACAAGGGGCATGGTCAAAGATGGGATTATGGAGTGTTGCTTAATGGGCTTCCTTAGAGGAATAGAGAAGGGGCTCAAAGATCAATGGTACCTGTAAGGGATGCTGTTTGTACTCCCACTCTTGCTCCTCAGCTATCTTTTTTGGGTGAATGACATCAGGGACTGAGGAGGCTGGAAATTTCAGCAAATTTAATGGAAGCTTGTCTTGTTTTAATGATGGATGCCCTCTGCTGCATTCTTTCTTATCTGTCCTGACAAAGACCCAGGTACGGTGAACAGGGCCCCATCACACTTTGCTCGACTGCCGCTTGGGGGTTGGGCTGAGGATGGCCAGACTGCTCGACACCCAGAGCCTGTCCCAGAGGAGAGCTCAGAAGATGAGTTGCCACCTCAGATACACAAGGTACAGCCCATGTTCTGCTTTGCTATGGGCAATGAGTGGGATGTGTGGGGCAGGAAACAAGGAATAGCCTATCTCCTTGCTGGGGGATAAACCCTGCTATATTACCATTACTTGGAGTGTTTCCAGATGAGACTTTTTATCATGCCATCACCCTGCCTCATTCACAGGTCCTGCATTTCCCCATTATTACCTCTGTATTTTTTTCCTTACTGTTTAAAATCCATTCAGGAAAATTATTTTGCACAGTATCAGTGGATTTGTACTGCTAACCTTCTGTCCAAAAATACATCAGAACTACTTGTCCTAAGATTGTTTCATAAATTAGTTGATTCTGAGTTTAAAATGGTATTGCTGAAATTGTGTTGTTTGACATTCAGGTATCCAAGTGCTAGCAAACCAAGTCAGTAAAGCCTATTAAATCATGAGTGGCTAAAATGTCTCTTTTCCAAAGAGATCCAGTCTTGTCAATATAGGAAGGAAAATAGAGATCTATGGAGAGTTTGAGAACTAGAAGCCATTCCAAGCTTTCTACTGGGTTTCTTTTACTTACAAGAGGGTATTCCAGTGTGTGTAGTATTTCTTGTCCCCGCATCACAAGCTGTACTTGCCAGACTGTCCTTCATACAGCTGTGAACATTACAGAGGTCCAGCATAGAGTAATGGTGAGTGTTGAACTAGGATTTGAGAAATCCGTGTTCTGTTTGCACTTGGCCATGAGGTTTACTAGACAGTAGACAGACACTCACCCCAGTATACCTCACAGGGATGTTGTTATGAGGATAAAACAGAGAGGAGGAGAGCCTTGTAAGTTACCTTGGGTTCCTTGCAAGAGGAAGAAAAGTGGGCTATGAATGCAGTGGTGTAATAATAATACCAATAATGGTAATACAGAAGCCTTTTTCTCCTTTGGATGTGGTCAATCTGGGCTTTAACTGATCTTGATTACAAATATCCTACATTCATAAGTTACTTTTAAAAAATAAGCAGAGAGATTCTCAGGAAGCCAAATCCTGCTTGTCCCCAGATTTACAGTAGCTTGGATTCTGATTAAGTCAGTCTCTCTCCTGTCAGAATAACTGCTTCTGTCCTACCAATCCCCAACAGGTGTAGCTGTGAAGGCTGAAGATCTAACGAGGGTTCCAGATTCTGGGCCCGCCTCGGCTGCTGGCACATTGGGTTAACCTGCCCTACAAGGTATGGGTTGGCCCAAGTGTCCATGTCCTGGACGTCAGTACCGGAGGGAAGAAGGTGCAAGTCAGCAGTGCCTTTGTGGTGGGCGGAACTCTATCCAGACATGCATCATGCCAGCAGCACACTACACGTGCATAGGCTGGATGTGTGTGTGATTACATATATTTGTCTGTGTCTGCATATGTGTCGTCCGTGTTGGAGAATCATCTGAGACCTGCACAGAATGCCACAGAGCACACAAGACAGCAGGGCGATGGCAGGCATGCATCCTGCCTGGAATGTTTAGGAGAAGGACCTGCAATATGGACCCTGTGCAGAGGCAGAAAGAGCTGTACCACTGTCCAGACCGCACCGTGATTAAAGATGCAATCAGGAGATAGATTTGGACTCAGGAAGAGAAGGGCTGGGAGAGATTATTTTTGTAACAGGAATGGGGCACAGGCTTCCTCCAGTGGCAGAGTCGGGCGTTCACCAAGCTTGTGGCTCTTCTCTGCTTTACCATTCACTCCTGAACTTTGGAGCCAAGCCACACAGGGCACCCTTGTAGGGCTGTCCCCATTTCCAAAGCAGGACTTGCTTTCCTGATGCACAATTAATTGCATTCTGCCTGGGACCACATTTGTTTAATGTCCCTGTTGCAATCTCAAAGCACAGGCTTAGAAAGGTACACCACATCCTTCCCAGGATTTCTTTTAGCCTGTAGCTGAAGCAACCTGTGTCATCCCCACACTTACCCAATAACGCCAAGCTTGAGTGCCTCACTCTTCACAGAGATGGCTCTGTTTGGAGGAAGCCCCTTGTCCTTTTCTTGTTCCTACTGCTGGGGCGTAGAGTTGGGTGTGGGGCTCTGCATCACGTTCTGCACATGATTGTAATTGTGGAAGGAGGGCAGGCACCATCGTACTGTTCGGATATTTCTCAGATCCCCAGACCCTGCTTGGTTTTTTCTTCAAACTGGTGCTGCTGCACTTGTGTGTTCAAAATACGAAAGGAATCAGGATGCCTTGACAAGAAGCATCCAGTTCTAATGGGGTTGCCAGCAAGAGAAGGGTTCCTACATGCCAAAAGAAATAGAAACCTGTCACATAAGGCGTGAATGGTCTTCATGTTTTTCTAACAAGCAGACATCCCAAAGTATTTTTGAAGCTTTCTGCTTGTTCTGCTGGTTCTCCACTTACGCTAAAGGACATCGTTCCACTCTTGCACCTGTTCCACTGCCTTTTTCCCATTGCTGCCTGGCTTTAGCACAGCAGCAGGAGACCTCATATTTGCATAGCTAATACCACAATGAATCCTTTCTAGAGGGCCAGTCAAAGTATTGCATCCCAGAGGGCATGGTCCAATCCAGCTATCCACGCATGGGTGAAGGGTCCCCCATCCCTTGGCCAACCCTGTAATTCAACTCCTTATCTCTCTGGGGCCAAAACTGTACCACTATTTTTTCAATGGGTGTTGTAGCCTTCAAGAACCGCTTGTAAGAGCAACTGCTATGTGTGGGAAAAGGGGTGCTGTCACAGATAAAACATGCAGACTTGCTAGCCATTGGCACAGCCTGAGCTAGGAGCATTATATATTTTGGGAGGCAAGACTGCTGGGGTTTTGGTTTGTTTGTTTTTTGTTTTTGCCACATTTAAGAAGCAAAGAACTGATCAGTGAATGGGAATTGATTTCTGCTGGTGGCTTCCTGCATATTGACAGGAGATTATACCTGAAAGGAGCACTGCCTCCCATAGCTTCACACCCTGGTGCCCT